GGTAATTATATTTGCTGAAATAATATTTTTCAGCTAAATGCAGAGTACATTGGAAAAAGTCCAAATTTAGTCTAAACTACAGGGAAAGCATGAATCAAAGTTGAAAGAGTTGAGAGGGCTAACCCCTTCAAAGTGAGGCAATTCATGCAGTTTATCCTATATAACACTAGTAGTAAAATGTATTTGTGCTGCTGAGTCTTTTCAGAAACAAGTTTTTAAAGTGCTTCGAAAAGCTTACATTGGTAAAAAAAAAACAAAAAAACAATAACAAAAAAACAACAACAAAAATAAAACAAGCAAACAAAAAACTGCATAGAATTATTTTATTATTATTATTATTATTTTTTAAATAACTCAATAAATAAAAATATAACCTGGACACAGTAAAAATTGGCAATATGTCAATAAAAATATAAACGGTTATATTGCATTTTGTTTTTAGTCATTGTTAATAGTGCAATAGCCAACAAGTACCACAGGAGGGAGCCCCTCTTCACCCCAAACTGGCCCCCGCCTGCGAATATGCTGTTTTTCTCTGTTATACCATTATGAATGGATTACTTTTGGGGTTTTTGACTGTAAGTAAGATAAGATAAACAATTTCAAGACATTTTCAGATTTGTGACTAAATTGTCAAGAACTTTGGTATTTAAGTGCTTAACTGTGATAATCAGTCTCAGCCCCACAATCACTGTCCATCTGCTTTTTTGGTGCTGTTTGTTTTCTCATTTGACTGTATTTTTATTTATTTACCAGGTTACTGGCACTTGTGAATCAATCAACAAATTGGGTATTTTGTTTTGCAAACAGTGTAATCTTGTAATGTTTACATGATGGCATTTTAAGGGACGGTTCACCCATATGTTCTGTTGTTCTATTCACCCTGCTCTCCTCTCTATATGAGGATGGAATTGACTCCAGTTTATGAAGTTATGACTAACAAATTATATCATAACAGAAACCAATACCTGAAATGAAAATAGATGTTTTGTTAAGATTTTATTTCGTTTTCCCCAAAACAATAAGATGTTAAAAAAGAAAAGAAAAAAAATCTATTGACAGCACTTCTGGTATGTTAGGAATGGAGTCCTCATAGCACGTTCTGTCCATGAGGCCCTCTCCAGGTCTGGGATCAGCTACACTTTCTGAACACGAGAATGCTTGATAATGGCAGGCTGGCTTGAGTTCAGTGTTTGGCAAGGTTGGTCAAGTCTGGATCCCCTAATGTGGACCATGCAGAACTGGCCCAGCCTATAAATAATACTGACAAATTTTAGAAGAAAGAACATTGAACCTGGAGAAAACGAGGGGAAGCGTTGTGAAATGAAGGTAGGCTTGTGATGCAGAGATTTTGAAGAATTGTAGTTTGATGACCAGTATCAATTTATTTTTCAATCTCTAATATATATTGTATTTATAATTTCAGATTGATATTGCAGCAGGTTACTTTTTCCTTAAAGTCATGCCAGTGTTGCTGTTGTTGGCTCTGGTGTGCCCTGTAACTTCTACACAATTGTCAGTAAGTAGATTATGGTTTCAGGATATGTTTCTCTTTTCGTTTTTATGTTAATACTGAAAACTGATCAGCTATGTTTCAAAAAGCTTTAATTACATGCTGGGTTGTTAAAGAAGTGTCATTTCTAGAGAGGCCGACATGAATAAACTCGCTTTCATGGATCCGTGCAGGGGTGGACTTGTTGTTCCCTCTGTGGATACCACTATGGTATTAAAAAAAAAAAACAAGGGTAGAAATGTCATGTGTAACTTGAAACTGGTTTTCCTCATTTAAGGCATTAGACTCATGTGGGCCAGAGGTTGCGGCTCTCAAGCGCAGCATAAAGAAACTGGAGAACAAAGTCTTCATCAAGACTTGGCGGGTTCAGCACTTGCAGATGCACAAATATTTCCGTCCATTTCAACATGCTGTTCCTGAAACCGACACGGCCTCTGGTGTAAACTACAACAGCAGCACTGATATGACGCTGATGAAACCACTTCCACCAGCAGGCAATTTAATTGTACACGACAAAGGTGAGAAAAGCTCACATCATGTCATCCCAGTGTTTGGGTGTGAATTTTAAGTAAAAAATTATAGTTATGTAATTTATAATCACTTAATTATGCAACATGAAGTAGGCCTCAGTATATTGTAAGTAACATTGGTAATGATGATAATCAGCAATCTTCAAGGCTTTTTCAATTCTGTCCTCCTAGATTGTTCTGAGCTGTTTGACAGACTGAGACCAGCAAGTGGTTTCTACCGCATCAGACCCAAATTACACCAGGAGCCTTTTTTGGTCTACTGTGACATGGAGGATGGAGGAGGATGGACAGTGTTTCAGAGGCGCCGGCATGGAAAAGTTGACTTCAATAGGTATTTAAGCAGAGAAGATATCCCACGCATGGTATGTGGGAAAATTATAAGTCCTAAAATCCTTGCAAAGCCCAGCATTAGATTACAATGTAGGCGTTTGATAGAGCTTGTGCAGCTGTTTCATTAGATATAAAACATCTGCCTAATTCTCATTTTAGAGACTGGGTCGACTACCGAGATGGCTTTGGTGACTTTAAACTATGGAATGATGAGTTTTGGTTGGGGAATGAGCGCATGTATTCTCTGCTCTCAGAAGGTCAGCAATTTTGATAAAACCCAAACATAATACAATAAAAGTTCCTGTTTCATATGTACTTTCACATACTGTATTTTATTTTGAAATAGTCTTGTATTCTGCCTGATTATCCACTTATTTCTCAATGATTCTCTGTATTTCTCTGCCCTGAAGGTAATAACCTGGTGAAGATAGATCTAATGGACTGGGATGGACAGAGAAGTCATGCATTTTATGAGAACTTCAGGATCACTGATGAAGCCGTAAGAAAAACAATTTGAAAGTTCTGTTTCTTGGTCTCAGTTGAAGTGAATTTCCCGGTAAACATTACTTGCTCTAATGTCCATTCCAGGATAAGTATCGTCTCCAGTATGAACATTACAGTGGCCAAGCTGGAGATGCTCTGACTGGTGGTGGGGGGATGGTGGAGCAGTGGTCTGCTTGCCTCAGCGGCATGCAGTTCAGTACTAGGGATCAGGTGAGTCATCGATCCCCTTTTAACCGATCCAAGATGGTATTTTTTATGGTGCTAGTAGCTCCAAGATTATTGATAATGTGGGGATGATGATTGTGATAACACTGTTATGGTGGTTATTGATAGGACAATGACCGCTACATTCAGGGCAGCTGTGCCAAGGAGAATAAGGCGGGATGGTGGTTCAACAGGTGAGATCTTTCAAATTACCAATACTCTGTCTGTCTTATCTTTCTTTTGTGTGACTGTTGCACAAACATTATCACTTGAACTGTGATGTCTTTTCTGGAAATAAAGTTTGAGTTTCTGTACAGGGTTTTGTTTTGCCTTTTAAACCATAGAAAGAACCAAACTAAGGATACAGTTCTTTCCATTTTATTGTAAAAATTTGCTGTTGTTCAAATCGTTGTCAGCATGTGCAGCCGAGCGCCTGCAAAAGCTTTAAAATAGACACAGGTTGAATTACTTGGTCATTGTGTACTAACCTTCTATCTACAGATGTCATGCAGCCAACCTGAATGGGAAGTTCTACAGCAAAGGGAAGTACAGGGGTCAGTATGACAATGGTGTGGTTTGGGGGACCTGGAAAGGCCTTTGGTATTCCCTTCGACACACCACCATGAAGGTGCGGCCTCTGGTTTTCTTGGATGCTGTGGGCAGTGGAGCAGGGGAAATTTAAAAACACCGGGCTACACAGTCTCTTGTGTGATACAGAATGAAGTTGAAAAATAAGGGCAAAGACTGATGTCATGTTTAAATTCTATATATTTTAATTTCTCCCTTTGCTTCATGATTTGAAACTATTATCAAATGTCGATAGTACAGTATCTTCTGCTTTCCAGTAAGCATTTCTTTTCTATAAAGTGTATGACATTACTCAAACAATAAAACAACCAGCATCTCAGCCGTACTGCCTCACTGATGTTCATATTTGACTGCCTTCAAACGTAGTCAACTGCATACTATTACTCTAACTTGTGAACTTTGTAGAAAACATGAAAAAACCTTGACATTGCTTAGATCACACATTCAAAATGTCCCTTACCGGTAAACCATTTCATAGTGAGAGCACAGCATGACTTCACAGCATGACTTCACAGCATGATAAACAAACATCACATTCAGCAGTGCAAAGCAATAAGACTAACCAGTCTTCTCTAGTGTTTTGAATACTGTCATTGATTGAGCTTGTGTTCAACAGTGCACACAGATGAAGTTACAAGGCAAATTTAAATTTGACTTATTATGATATATACTGTACCAGTTGTTGATATACAGAGAAACATATTCCACATGTGTCTTGAAAAGAGAGAAATCCTGAAGTCATACTCTTAACAAGACAAAAATATGTTCAACTATAATGCCAATTCAAATTTAAAATATTAAAGCAGTTACAATAAGAAATGCAATATGAAAACATTTTTTTGAAATACAATAAACTTAAATATCTTACTTTTGCTCTCCTTCTTGTAGATAAGCAAATTCCCTACATTTTTTGATATAGACTGTAGTACAATCTTCACCTTTATGTGTGTCTCTGTTAATATTTGGTTAAAGTCACAGATGTTGCAGAAAGAATCTATACACAGGTATATTGCTACAAACCTGCGTGATCTACTCTTCCTCTCCTACATATGATGAGGACAGATCTAGGTCCAGCATCCTCTGTTCAGCCTCACTCAGTCTGTAGGGTGAGCCGCCACTGCTGCTGTAGTCTCCAGACATTGGCAGAGAGCGGCAGCGACCTTTCCTCTGGTCAGAGGATGATACACTAAAGGTGGAGCTTCGCTGTCGCCCCTTGACCCCAGAGGAGGACTGAGCCTCCTTTAATTTCCGGGCCAGAATGTTCCTCTGGATAGGCGATGGGCCACGACGGTTCCAGTACTGCTCAGCCCGCTCTGCCCGATCCATACTCAGCTGGTTGACTCCATGGGAACTGGCAGGCACTGGACCCCCGATCCCTGAGATCCCCTCTCTACCTCCAACTCCAGACTCACCACTCCTTTGTCTTTCCCCAGTGCCACTGATGTCTCCCTTAGCATGTTTGTCAGATGCTGAAATGCTGTTTGTGTTGGTTCCTGTGTGTTTGAGTTCACTGTTGTGAGAAAGAACAGCTGTCTCTATCCAGGGCTTCCTTTGGTCATTTCTCTGGGGTCTGGAGTTGGTCCACTCCGAGGCCCCATGCTCTGGAATGGGGTAAGAGCGGTATGGCTGCCTCTCCCATCCTCCTTTGGTCCAACAACTTCCTTCAGGAAGGGTCCGAGATCCCACCTGAGAAGAATAACGTATAATCAGACCTACACAAATCTGACCTACAATAAATATATTAATAATATAAGATAATTAAAACTGGATAGGTGACCTGGGTCATGCTCCGTTCTCTGAACTGTCTGGACTGCGCAGAGGATGGAGGATGGGGTCTGGTATCATTGAAACTGGAGGTCCGGCGAAAATTTGGATTCTTGTGATTGGAGTTTCCCACTCCTGCATCTCCTCCTCTGAGACCTGCTAACCCGCTCCTCCCTACCATCTCCACCCAGTCGGCAGTGCGGTCACGCCATTTTGAGCTACCCCCACTTGCAGAGACAGGAGGACCTAAGATCAGCTCCACTCTGGGACTCAGTCTGTCCGGCGTGGCCCTCGAAGTCTGCGACGGCGGCTCAGAAAAGGGAGTTGCAATGTGAAAATGGTTGTGGTTTGTGTCGTCCTGGTGACCCAAAGGGAGGGCGGGATGAGCGAATCCAGTTGGTGTAGGAATCGGCGAGCTGGTGGGTGAAGCAGATGTCTCCACCAAGGTGTCATGGACTGGGCTTGAAGAGACATGGTACAGCTGTGTGGCCTCCTTTAACCCCTTCTTTTTCATTTCTTTCAACTGCTGCTGAGCCAATCGGTAACTAGAGAATTAATGATCATTTATTTTTCTGAGACTGGGGAGTGACAGAATAAGTTTGACAATAATGTTGTATGTGTGATGAAAGTAAACAATATTCTGAACATACCCAAATATTGGTGGCAACAGCTTCTGTCCTGTGGGAGACAGCCTTTCTGGGTCCTGTGCAAGAGGTATGACCAGGGTCTGTGAGAGAGGCTGACCACCCGGGGAAAGCCTGTCTTTCTGGGCTACACCCACACCCATGCTCCCTGGCGGGCCATGGCCGTCAGAGAGGCTGGGTCTTTGAAGGCTGTGTCCACAGATGGAGGCCTCATCAGAGAGCTTGCGTCCCCCAGGAGAATGCATGGAGCCTCTGCGAACAGAGCTGCACTGAGGGGTCTGGCAAAGCTTTCTCCACACAGCCACCACAAAAGTCGCCAGAATCACAGCCAGGCAAAGAGAGATGCCAGCCACTACGACCATGTTACCACCTAAGGGTGCAACTCCGACAGGTACAGGGGGGAGGGATGGAGAAGGATCAGGCAACACTGGGGAGGAAAGGGAGACAATTAAGTTAATATGTGAAGTATGCATACTCCACAGTGAATGTAGTTTTTTCATTCCTAGTTTAGACAAGATGAAGACAAATGAGTGAAATTACGCAGAAAATCAAAGGACGGAGAGACGGAACAGGGAAAAAAAGGAGCTAATGGGTGAAATGACTGACCGACACAGTTTTCCAGTGAGCACAGGGACTGTTCTTTCACCATGCCAGTGCACTGCATCCCTCCCACACTTGAGGGCAGCAAACACTCACGCACTCGTTCCCTCACCCCCTCTCCACAGCTCACACTGCACACACTCCATGGCTGCCACGGCCCCCATGACTCTGCAGAGAGGAAGATGAGCAAAATATTGTTGATAAATGTCTTCATTTACAAACGTTGCTACATTGCCAAGTTACTCAAATGATCACACATATTGAGGACCCTATGCTATTCTCATCCATATCATAAGATGTCAGAAACGTCAGGATAATTAGTTAGTGATGTTAGTGATTAGTTAGTTATGTGCTGAGGTTGATACTTGAGCGGGATGTGACATTATTTGCTGTGCACTTTGCTTCACTGGAATGTGTAAGTGAATGTTAGAGGGTTGATATAGTGGCATGTGATAATATGCTGTTGGACACTGCATCTTAATAACCTACTATAACATTTTCAGTGTAGTAGCACTAGATATCACTACATAAATAATGTGTGATCTTGGTGATCATGTTGTGGAGACACACCAGGTCACCCTTCACCTCATTATAAAAAAAGACAAAAAGAAAAATCAAAAATACAGTCTTGAATGACCTAATAGTGATTAGTGATGCTTATATTATGACTTTACTGTGTAATCAACTGAACTGATATCATTTTGGACATAGATCTGTGAACCTGTCATCGTTTTCATGATTCAGTGTTTGCAAATGTGGAATGACCTAAAAAACAGACAACACACTAGAGTAAGTAACATGGCTTACCATAACTAAATTGTGACTTAATTGAATTGGTTTAAAATAATAAATAGTTGATTCTGTCAGTACATGATAGTCATGAAGTTTAAAAAACATAAAATCAGTAATCAATAACTGCAACCTGAAAATTACTCAGGTGAGATATTCACTAAATTTAGCTGATTTGGACATTGTGGTTTATATGTTACAAGACAGGCCTTTTTCACAGCAGACATTTTGATTTGATGTAGTAGGAAAAAGCACACGCATTACTAATAACATTAACTACGGCACTGTTCTATTCAGGTGTCCCAGAAAACTATGACAGTGTGACAGTGAGCCAATTTGCACAATACCAGGACCCTGAAGCTGAAACAGCTAAATGGAATGCAGCCATCACTCATAACACCTTTGCTTTTCCTACTGTGACATGTCAAAATGTCTTCTGTAAAAAAGGCCTATTTCGTTTTCTATAATGAGGTCATTCCTTAACTAGTAAGAGGGTTTTATCTGCCATTGGAATTAACCAATCTTGGGAAATCTGGATGACTAAAGTAAAGCAACTCTTTCCCTCCTTCAAAATTCAGTTCTTCTTGAGTAAATCATCACAACCCTGCTCTAATGACATTGCTGAATGACATGTGGAATAGAGTGTAAATGTATTCTTGGCAGCTACCAAATGTGAATGTGTTGATCTATCAGATCTCACCTGCACTCCTGTGAACCACCAAACAGGTTTGTGCCGGACTAGGAGAGCGACTGAAGTTGAAAACAAAGCGAAAGCAGTACTTATTTCTTCCTGTGTAAAACACAGAACAGTTGAATTCTGTCTCATTCTCTCCCTGAGTCAGCCAGTTAAAGGCCAGCGGAGGAGAGGAGGGCTCCTCTGGACCAAACCCCATCAGTGCTGTTCCACCTGCTCCGATCCCAGAGGAAACAGCACCCCCTCTTCCAACACTTGCATCCTTATACAGCAATACTTTCCCATTGATGTGAGCGCACGGTGGGGTTATCAGTTTAACAGTCATAGTCCCTTCACAACCACTCTTGTAAGTGTTGGTGTTTTCCACCAGTAGTTTATAGGAGAAGATACGCGACAGGTAAAGAGGTCCAGAGCTCTTCACTTCCTGAGGTGTATGAGGAGACCGAAGGGCCACTTGTATGAAGTCTCTTTCTGTGAATGGGAAGGCGCAGGACAGCTCAACGCTCTGGGAACGGAGGGGTTTGATTGGGTGTCGTGTGCGGGCTCGGACCTTGTCAATGCTGTTTCGCCCAATCTGGTTGTACTCCATGTAGCTGACTTCTAGGAAGAGGGCAGAGTCGAGGATGCTGGAACAAGCCTGAAAGTATTCATTAGTGGATATCCCCACCTAGTGAGAGACAGAAGAAGATATGCATGAGAATCTTTCTGCAACACAATAAGTCAACTTAGTTTGTAAAGTATGAGATCTTCTTTATCTTGCCTGAAAAGATCCTGAGTGGTTTCCAGCCCTTTCTACAGCGATGTGAAAGGTAGGCCACTGCACCTGCAGTTCTGAACTCCACCACCAGGTGGTGCTCTCTGTGCTACTGACATCTGTGCTATTGGCATAAGAAACAGCAGCGGTGGTCTGCCTCAGCAGGAACCTGAAAGTTCCTGCATACAGGAAGCAGGAGCAGTTGAACTCCACCCTACCGGCCGATTGGTTGTTGGGGAGAGTCCTGGTCAGAAGGGTGGTGTTGGTTTCCGTGTTGACCAGAGAGAGGCTTATGTTGCGGATGGTGCTGATGTTGGATTTTGTGCTGAAGTCTACAAATACACTGGCGTTGCTAAGGGCAACGTGGAAGGAGGGCCAGATATTGAGCCCTGCAAAAGCTACAGGAAAGGATGCACAGAAGTGAGACAGGGCAAAGAGAAAGAACGTTTTACCTATTGTTCATATATCCATTCATTAGCTATACCGCTTATAGGCTTATAGACCCTTATAGGGTCTCTGGTCACTCTGGATCCATAAACAACTGATATGCATCAGCAATAGTAAGCTACAGATTTCAAACACAATATAAGTCAGTTAACTGATTAGCAGTACACCTCTGATGTGTAGTTTGTAAATCCTATTGTGCAAATCTCACATCCTCACAAAGCAAAGAGGGTGTGGGAAGAGGAAGAGGCTGAACCTCCATTACCCCCTTCACTCCTCTGCCTTTTCCTTCAGCTCAACTTCCCTTTCCCATTTAAATGAGGGCGCATAGTAGAATATAGGATTTAAGTTAACGTGCATGACTTGATCAGATCAATTAAAAATCAATGACACCTACCAGCCTTTTCAAACATTTAGTTACTGTATGTTATGAAGATGGTTTAGTGACCCTCACCATATCCCATGAGTGCCAGCAGGAAGGGCAGCAGTGAGACAGCCTGTGGCATTCCGAAGTCTGTGCCTAGGTTTTCTCCTACACCACATGACCGTCCTCTTCCACCATCCCTGACCTCTGCAAAATCAGAGGTGAATCACAAAATAAACAAATAATCCACAAGAAGGCAGCAGACAACAACTTGTACTGTGCCTGTAGAAGTCATCAGACAGGAGAAGGCATGGAAGAAGTAGTGCGCATATCTGAGGAATGAAAAACAGGAAGGCTAGAGCATGAAGCTGTGACCATGGGTTTTCTGGATTTACAGTGGCGTCTTCCTCTTCCTTCTATCCTCACAATGGGTATGGAGAGCTGCCGTCATCACACGAGTGTAGTAGCTAAAGGAGGGCTTTGTCAATAACAAATACTTGAGCCAAATACTTGTTTGGTTGCTTATACAGACATTTTCACTGATTGTTTCTAACTGATTGAGTTTCTGAGTTTCTTTGCAAACACAATAAACTACTGACTTTGTGTCTCAGAAACAAACACATATGCATGGATGCTTGGAATTTTGGGCACCAGACCGCTGATATTATATTGTGGGCATGTTTGCATTAACAATGGAGCAATCACATGTGGGCTGCATGTACTGAATTTAATACATACAGTACACTCTTTAATACACTGTAGCTGGATCAAGAAGTACCTTGTTCTTAGGTAAAGACATTATAGCCTGAATTAATTTTTTTCCACTGATACTCAAATGTATCTCTGCTTAGCCATCATGAGTCTTAGAGTATGAGAGTTATATTAAAATAAAGAAACTTAGAAATGATTATAAACCTACAATTAGCATATGTTGTACTCGCACCTAAAGTTAAACGTGTCTCTGGGTCGTAACCTTAATTGTTTGGTAGTTGGAAAATAAAGCTTTTACTCACATCTCTTATTAACTCCGAGCAGCATTGTTATTCCTCTCCACTTTTCCATCACAGAAACCGCAGTTCCGGACCCTCCATGTATCTGTAACACATTCCTTCGCACAGACTATCTGCTAGTAAATGTCACTGACAGTCAGCGGGACAAACGGAGGGCGCGCGCCGGTGCTCAGAGCGCGTGAGAGAGATCCGCAGCGCAGTCACTTCAGGGTCACAAACAGGGCGTGCTGAGTATTGTGTGCAACTCACTAGGCTTTTTGTCCCTCCCAAAACGTAGAGGTACAGTAAAGACAATGTGGTCTACAAACCAATAGGCTGCTTGCTTTCAGAAACACGCGAAGAAATACCGTGAAACTATAAAATAAGTCTTATTTTATGGATTTACATTCCTGCTTGGGAGTATTAACATGCAAAATGAAGCAGAACTATTTACTGGTTTGGAAGTGGTTCTGTGATACAATTGAGAATCCCATTCCTATTCATTTCCATAACCCGGGTTCTCAAATACAGAAGTGTCCATGCAGTTGCTTCACAAGCAGGTTAATTTGTGCATGATGAAGTATACTTAGGCTGCGGCTAAGGGCATTACAGAAAACTGAGGACCCCTTTCCTCTCCTGGCAGTTTAATCATTGCATTATATGAAGTGAATCACTCAGGAGATTATCAATCATCAAAAGAATTCAGCACGGGTGCCTGAGGAAGGTGAGTAAATGTGGAAATATGTGAGATGCAACAGATGAATCCATAATTCAATACTCCAACTGGCAGTCACACATAAATCTTTTTTTTTTTTTTTTTAAAGTAAAGCTGTTGTTAAAGGAATAGATAAAAAAAAACAACTCATTATCTATTGATATAGGCATTTGGGCATAACAGCACTGTCAATCCTAACTGCCCCACAGGAGGAGGCAGAGTAAAACATACAAACAACAGAATGAAACTTTTTATGCAATGGAATCATGGTAGTAAACTGCAGAACTATTCATCTCATGCAGTCAGATTGCCTTCCTCCCACATAAAAATAACTGACAAGTCATTCTTCTGTAATCCACTGATGAAAACAAACATTATTGAGATTTGAACAGATGGCACTCAGCAATTCAGGATATGGATTAACTTAGAATTTACCACTGAGTAAATAAGTCCACCTAAACATGCAAGAACAGGTCCCATTTTGTATTTAAAAAAATAAAACAAAAAACATTCAGTAAAGGTTCAATGGTGCATGACTCCTAGTTATTATGATCAGACCTGCCTGAGTTCAGCTCTCATGATTTCCTGAATCAATTAAGTTACTATCAATAAGTGAACCACATGGCATGGTAATCTAATCAGCTGTATTGCTCTGCAGACGTTAATTTTTCTTCCAGAGAGAGCCAGGAGAAAACAGGAAGCTTCTCTGGAGATGAAACACGTTTACTGCTCAGCTCCGTTCACAATGGGAACAAAGACCTTTTCTATCCTGTGTGTAAAAGCCCTACAGGGACGCACAGAAATAAAGAATAAAAATACAGTTGCAGCACTCTCAGCCGGAATAACATTTATACATGATGCTCCTTAGACTTAACAATAAGCTCATATTTCACACATTTATTACTACTTCTGGAGTTACTTTTAATATATTGTTAATAGACACGTTAAAGTGATTTGCAAGCACTTATTTTGAAAGCTTCACTGTGCCAATAAATAGGGTGCTCACCTTTCAGTTGAGTCTCACAACAGTCACAACTGGAATTTCTATAACACAACCTCTGCACTGAAGGGATTTATAACCTGAAGAATGACATTTGGCAACATGCCCTAAATTTTATACTCTGTGAACCAAACTTATCTTAGTCAAAAGCTGTTTCATTCAAGGACATTTGATTCAAAGACAGTCTGACTGGAGATCAGTAATCATGCTTTGATGCAGAGAGACTAAAACAAGCTGAGAGGTATTTAGATCATTTAGACATCTGGACATGTTCTCCGCTTCCTCGGAAGAAAAGATAGCAGGGCAGAGCTTTATTCCTTAATCATTTATTATATACATTTTACTTTGGAAAATGTGATTAGTGGCTATGGATTTTCATAACAAATTCAAAATGAAAGCGGTGAAAAAAAATTACTGTGTACATCCCATTAAGTCAATTTTCCCAAACCCATTTATTACTAATGACACACTAAGTTGAGCAAACCTGGGAACATTTTGCTGCGTGTACAGTATTTGCAGTCTGTAGACACATTTTAAAGACCTAGATGGAAAATAGCAGGTGGTACGTACAGTGGATGAAGGATGTACCACCACCAGAACATTAACCATTCAATGATCGACTGTATAGCACGAAGTACAGGATGCACTCTACTGCTGTACAAAAGTATATACATGTAGAGGTCAGAACATTGTTTTAATGCATCCGTCTAGCGGAAGAGACAGTGCGGCCCACTTTATTTTCCTCTATCTCAAGAATATTGAGTAAAGTGTAAGAGTGTAAACAGGTCAAAATAGGTTTGGGTAGAATCGCAAGCCCTCAACAGAGTCATCTCTACACAGGTGGCCCATCTTCTCAGCCAGCAACAACCTGGAGATGAGGAAGGAAGAGAGAAGCAGACACTAAGAAATAAATGAACTAGTAGCAAAATGCAGCAATAAAGAACTATAAAATGAGAAACACGAAAGAAAAGATAAACATCAAAAAAAGATAAATAAAGATAAACTATGTGGTAAAACAGGGAGATTCACATCATGAACCTATGAGATCATTTACCGCTCTTTCGACAGAAGAACAGAGAGACCCAAGAGCTTGGCAAACTCCTCTGCTGTCAAGGAGCCTTTGTCTGACACCTGTAGAAGAGAAAGAGGGAGAAGAAAAGGGTTTCAACGGTGATTTATCTCAAGATATTTTTCAAAGATATATTTATCTGAGGGAGTGGAACATGCTGTTTGATCAATCTGAGGTGTGACCATGTCGTTGTCAGTGTCACGTTTGTAACAGTAAGAGCTTACGTTGTCCAGTGCTGAGGCTATCATTTCCTCCTCGCTGTGAGACTGCAGCTGGACCACCATCACACCACTGTCAAACACGCGCAGCCTACAGAGAAGACAGATGAAGGAAAGGTTGTGTATGTGTGTGTGTGTGTGTGTGTGTGTGAGAGAGAGAGAGAGAGAGAGGGGGAGTAATAGAAAGCAGGTTAACAGTTTTAAGGAAAGGTGATCTTTTATTAAGCCAAAATGCAACCAGTTTGGAGGGGGGGGGGGCTACTGGGACCAGCAGGATAGAAGGGAAACAGCCCACTGTTTCTTTTAAAACTCTAGGAAGTGACAGGAAATGACAGCTGCAAAGGGCTGGACACCACCTCCAACAACAGGAAGCCAGGCAGGAAGAGCCTGGCCTCTGTGAGGCAGGCGATACCCTGCCCTATATTCCTTTGATAAACACATAGCCTTGTCTATACAAAAAATAAATGTATGCAAGTATGCATGGATAATTTAAACAAAGACAAACACAACTCAAACTCACCTCAGTGGGAGCTTCAACGACTCAAACATCTTGCATGCGTTTACCAAATCTTCTGGAGACAAAAGCTATACAAAGGGGAAAAAGTAACTTGAGTATCTGACAGGCTACTAAAGACATTTGTGTGTAGCATGAATGTATAGATAGAAAAGGTGTTTTGTACTGTCAGTTCAGCTAGAATGGACATGTACGGACATACCCACTCAAGTATGATCTACAAAATAACTCAAAATAACTAATAATTGTTTTGTGGTGCATGCGTTTACGTGAGCATTACCTCCATCCCTCTAGCACGGTTGACGAGACAGTACACCTCAGTCAGAGCCATCATACCCCCACGCTCCTGAGAGAGCAGGGAGAGGTAGAAAGAGAATAAGAGAAATGAAGAGTCAGGATGAGATGTAAAAGAAAGTTAGGAGATCATTCAAATTAGTGCACGATCTTAGCCTGTGCAGATGTAAGACGCAGGACACCCAAACAATTCACACCTACCTCGAGAGGGGCCTGTAGCATATCTCCCAGTTGCTTAGCCAGCTGCATGTGGTAATTTGTGCCTGATCCATGCGTTTCCCTTGTAACTGGGTTAGCAATACCCATACTCAGCAGGTAGGACTTAAACCGGATTGTCTGTAAAGCAGAACATAAACTGTTAATAAAAAGAAAACAAAACCAAACTGTGAGAATTTAAGTGTAAAAACTGAATACAGTAATACTGTATGTGCAGCAAGCATCGGATGAGACAAGTTGTGTGTGTAATGGTCCACTGAAGTTGGGAGACTTTTACTTGGAGGCTTTTATGGATAGTAGTAGTAGCTATTTCTGCATGTACAGTAATTTGAAGCTACAGTATGTTCATTGTTCCCATGTTTCTGTGCCTGATTATACTGGCCAAGTTCTTACCTCATCTTCTGTTATATCTCCCTGCTTGTCTTTGATCTTGTTGGCTATAGATCTGGACAGCTCCACCATCTCTTTGGCCTGTTAGTTAAAGTAGACAATCATTTAGCAAATCCTACTGACAGTCGGTAAGTCTCTTATAAATCACCAACTATAGGAAAATGCATTCTTTACCTTCACCATCAGTTTACTGAGGTCCTCAAAGGCCTGAAAAAAAAGGAGCCTAAATTGGTAATGGTGCTCAAAAATGTCCACAATTAAATAAACCACAAAAATTCATGGCTACAGATAAAATTTAAATATCATTCCAAAGCATCCCCACCCCTCCTCTGAGTTATGATCAAATCCAACATCCTCCCTAATCCTAAAGACCCATTTGATTCAATGTTATACCTTTCATGAAGCTAAATATGTGTCATTTCGATATAATTCTTTTACATTAAAGACATGCAGAGTGTCCAGCAGCTGTTGTATGAACACATAACTTCACGGTTGCCTGATGAGTGTCACAGCGGCTGTGGTCAGCTTGAGGTCACATCAGTAACAATAAATTCTGATGGTGATGAGTTTTTCATGGCAGAAAAAACAGATCAAAACATTAATAGAATTTTTTATTTCATTTTTGTTTTAAATCAAAATACTCTGTATTCCTATTCACAGTCAAAACATGGCTAAATATAAAACTTTATCTTGGAGCTTTGAGGAGGGAGGTGGCAGTTTACTTAGCTTAGTTTCTATTAAGACCTATAACTCAACACCACCACAATTCCTGTTCTGACACATTTGGCAGTATTTGTGTATTTTGACTTCATATTACCTCTGAAATGTTTTTGTCTGTTTCTTTTCTCCTCTCCTCTATCTTTCTCTCGATGCCAACAATCCCCACAGCACGTGTCTTTCCTGCCTACATGGCCATGAAGGAAAAAAAAAACACACACACACAGTGAAACACACAAGGATTTGAAAAGTTAGTAACAACCTTCAAAAGACTTGAATTTGTCCGACTGCTATGGGATGCTAAACCTAGTTTGACATTGATTTGATGCACAGTGATACCAAATCTTTTTGAAAAGTCCTACAAAAAGGGCAGAAGTTCGAACCACTTTTATTGTTAAGCCCAAGAATAAAGCGGCAACACTGCCATCCTGTGGAACATAATTTCAACTGACAATGTTTATCACCTATTAAAGTGTAAAATGGCAGTTTGACTGGTACAGGTACAATCCCCTGGTGTGAAAATAATCCACACAAACTTCTGGCGTCTGAATATAAAAATCTCCAGGAATATAAAACAGTGGAAAAGAAGAGATTCTAGTTGTAGCCGTATGTCTATTCAGCTTCCACCAACCTGAGAGCCAGTTCCTGTGGGGATGGGTTGTGAAACTGGTGTACTCTCCCATCTTTTCTGAGTCATCTCTTCTGTTAGCCTCCTGTAAAACTACAGGGAAATGACACCATATTGTCAGTTTTCCAGGTTATCAAGAATCCAACACCTAGTTTTTTTTATCTGAAGCGGTGGTACAGAAGATGAAAACAAAAAGCCCCCTTTGCTTCTTGCATAAGATGGACTACCTCTATCTGTCCATGTTCTTTGAAGGACAGTTTAATGTAGGAGTATTTGCTTTGTTGGTAGGGACCTGGCTCCTTGTTGGCAGGCACTGGATGCAGGTGAATAACTATTTTTGCACTGCAGAATAAGAGAAACCAATAGTTAATTTATTATTTTCTTCTGCTACATTGTCATAGGTGAAAGTTCATTCTTGACCTTTCACAAAAAATCTTAACTCAAGGTCCACCTAGTAGCTTTTTTCAGAGCTTTTACCCACAATTACCCCACATACAACCAGCAGTTACTAAAGTTCCATATTTTATATACAATTGTATGCAAATGTTTGGACATATTTTACACATTTTGTTGATTTTCTAACTGAAAATAAGTAAATACAACCTCTGTTGCAAACAAAAAAATGAGCCCCTTACTCCCATTTTTTATGTACTCTTAAAGTAAGCAGTATAGTAAGTAGTAGTATAAAACATAAAAACAATTAAACAGTAATTGGGAACACACTCAACTCACTAAACAGTTAGACCTGAATTGACTTGTAAGGACTTGTAATGCAAGCAAAGAATTGTCATTAAACATTGTCAGCTGATGACATTTCTAGAGCTTGATAAACCCTCTGACTCTTCAAACCTTGTGGTAACACAGCAATCATGGGCTCAGCTAAGCTGCTGACTGAGGATATGAGGCTAATTGATGCCATTAATAAATGGCCTTTAAGGGGGAACTGTGGAAGTCAAAACAAGACCTGGAAGATTTCAGATAATTCTGCACGTCAGCTGGGCAGCAACGGAAAGAAAGAAAAATCCCATATCACCGGAGAGGAGCTGCAGGACTGTTTAGCTGACACAAGAGTGGTGGTGCAGGCTCTACCTGGTAAAGCCATTAGAGGAAAACCTTAGCTATGGCCTCATCACCAAAGTCTGAAGTCTGCATCTCTGACTCCGTGTTGGTTGAGGTGGCCTCTTAGTGAAACTACCCTGAATAAGTAAAAAAAAAAAATTGCTGTGGACGGATAAAGTTAAAACTGAGCCTTTTGGCCACAATCACTAAAGGTGTATTTGGAGAAAAATACGAGAAGCATTTGATGAACAGAACACCTTGCCAACTGTTCAGCAAAGGAAATATTCTGCTTTGGGGTTGTGTTGCAGCCAGTGGCTCAGAAAACATCGCATTAATGGTGAGAACAATGGATTCTCCTGGTTATCAGCAAACTCTTGATGCAAATGTCCTGCAATCAATAAGAAAGTGACACTGAAAAGATGAGGCTGGCTTCTACAACAGGACAATGATCCTAAGCAGACCTCAAAATCTAACACGACCTACTTCACGAAACACGAGCTGAATCTTTTGGAACGGCCCTCAAAGTCTCCTGACCTGAAAACCACTGAAACTCTGTGGGTAGTTCTTAAAAATGTGTGCAAGACAGCCTAAAATATCTCTAAAATATCTGCAGCAGTAGCTGGAAATGCCTAAATCAAGAATAGAAAGACTTTTACCTGTCATAAAAAGGGCTTGCAAGCTGTAAAATCTACCAAACAGCGGGTTTGTAAGTGATGACTAAGTAGAGTGCACATTTGCATAGTTATTGTTTATTTTATTCCTATTTTCAAGCTAATTGAATAAAAGTAAGAATCTATTAATATTTGAAACAATGCTCATTTGTAATGCATGTTTGCTTCAGGGGCTGTATTTGCTTCTTTATATTTCAAATATCAATAAAAATGTGTAAAACATGCCCAAACATACATACAATTATCTTTACTGTAATTACAAGTTATGACAGGAGATGCCTCACCATGACAATCTGAGTAAAATATACCAATTAGAAAGACAGTAAGATGGACCGAAAGCCCCACAGAAAGTTAATAAGTGGACTTCAATTACTTTTTTAAACAAATAATGTATTTACTGACACTGACCTCTTTCCTATTCCTGCAGCCTGCTCCTCAAAGAAGATGATCTGTGACAGGGGCATGGCTATGCAGCATTCCTTAGAGAAATACAGAAGTCATCATGAGAGTCAGCACACGAAATGAGGAAAAGACCACTTCCCACACAAGTGCAGTCCGCAGTATATGAAGGCATGCTTGCTGCTGTCTTACATGATTTTTAACGTCCCTCCAGATCAACCGATGGGTGCTCAACAGGACAACTCCAACATCCAGCTTAGCCTGGTACAGTGAACGACAGGAAACGACGTGACGTTTTTATTTGCTTACATTAAGTTCAGTTATAATCACCGTACACTACAAATATAACCACCTAAAAACACAATGATCTACCTGAACTTTGTCAGCACCGTCATTATGGCCGTATAATTCAACTATCTTAACAACATTGTTGCGTGTAACTTTTGGCTGCTGTGTTGTGTCAGGCCACAAACTTGGATACCAGAGAGGAAAACTATACCTTATCATCTCCGTCATACAGTCTCACACCTCGTTGCTGGATCACTAAAGTTTCATTTATTTCTAAAAGCCCATTTGACCACGAAAAACGGTCCATTTTTACTATAATAAGACCAATTTGTTCCTTAATTCACTGCGCCGCCGAGACTCATTTCATGTTTACTTCTTGTACACTGTCCAAAACTGGCCTGACGCCGCCTGCATAGAAACACGGAAAAAGAATATAAAAAAATAATATAATTTAAAGTTAACTGAATTAATAGTAATGCCAACTATAAATCACCTTTTTGTCCTGATAATATTATCCAAAGAAAATGCAGTGTTGTTATTTTTACATAAATTGCTCCACAGTGTTTTTTCTGACCAGCCGCCTCAGCGGGGTCCTTTTCGGTGTTGACGTTACTAGCGCCAGCTGTCAGTGGAAGCTAGCTACAGTGCTATCTTTCCTTTAATTTTTTTTTTTTTTAAATGAATTTATACATTTTCCAGACTTTATTGTATTCATCGCCAGAATTAGGTTTAAACTAAGCTTGGATGAAAGGATGTGCAGATATTTTATTCGCATTTCCTAGTGTGATTTTGTTGAACTGTGCTCAGCACTGCGGTAGCTGTAGCTTGTTGTTAGCTTGTTGTTAGCTGCGGACAGATCTGCTGCATACAGCTCCTCGTTTGGAAGTCATTGTTCACAGGCGGAAAAGTTGTATCGTAAAGGACTGGAAAGACCATGCAGCTTTATTACGGAGCTAATCATTTACTGCGAATATTAATTGATTTAAATGATGCTTTCATTGTATTATGAATGAATCAGTGACGCCAGATCAACAAAGTACTTAAGAATTAAAGTCAACCGAATGCATTTTGTCTTGAATTACTTTATCTGTTGTGTTGTAAAAAGTCTATTTACCAAGTGCGTGGTATAATAAGTGTTCATTGTCAAAGAGGCTAGCGTCTGTTTATATCAACAAACATGGATAAAAAGTCTTTTGACATTGTTTTGGATGAGATAAGAAAGGTGAAAATACTCTAATCCTAAATTGTCTATCCGATTTATGAGTTGAAATCCTTTCATCCCCAGGGTTTGCTAATTCTCCATCCTGTGTTTCAGTGCGTCCTGACTGATCAGCGCATCAAAGCCATAGAGCAGGTGCATGGATATTTCTCCAGTGAGCAGGTAACTGCCCAAACGGCAATACTGTCATCTAATGTTCAACTGTATTTTTATCACACTAGATAGACAGGGTTCCCACAAAAATCTGTCAAACAATTCACAATTTTTGCATGACATATAGTGCTTAAACGGATATGTAATAAATATGTAGTCCCAAAATTAGACAATATTAGATAATGTTATTGTTGTTAATTTACCTCATAACCAATGCTGCATTTGGGTAGATTTCAAAATATTATTCTTAAGTAAATTGAAACCATGGGTTTTGATGTTTAAGCATGCCTGTGTAACTTAATATAATTACTAAAACCTTGTTGTTCATTGATGTAATGTACACTGAGGATAAATGTGTATTTAAAATTGTTTTCATGCTAGTTACAACCTAACAGAGGTAAACTTACATACTGTTGGAATATCATTTTAATCCATATCAATACTCTCTTATATTTAATACGACTTCTATACTAGAGCAGTGCAGCGTTAGTGTAATTGTAAGTTGTAATACTGTCTTGTTCTCTGCAGGTGATGGAAATACTGAAGTATTTTTCATGGGCAGACCCGCAGATTAAAGCAGTGAAAGCCCTGCAGCATGTAAGTAACAGGTGTTTTAAGTCACCGGGGTACCAAATGGTTTGCATTAGTATTTTATTGTAGTATCTTTGCCCATTTATATCATGCTAACAATAGAAATAGTAGGAGTGAAATTGGTAAAGCAAAATACATCATTGTGTGTGGAACCGTGACTTCTCACTGTCACTGGTACATTTCAAGTGTTAGTTGAACATGTTTCTCATTCTTTTGCCTTTAGAAAATGGTTGCAATCCCTACAACCAAAGTTGCAAATATCCTGAATTGCTTCACTTTCTCAAAGGACAGACTGATTGTTCTGGAACTGATAGCTTTGTGAGTACATTTAAAAAAAATAATAATAATAATAAATAAATAAATAAAAATGTTGTAGTATCAGCCTGTTTGATTTATTCAGTGGTGAGTTGGACTAAATGGTTACTTGAGAAATGTTGGGTCTTTGTTCCCATACAGGAACATTTCAGATGCTCAAAATTACCGTCCTGTGGAGGACCTGTTTCGCATACACTTGTCAGAAAAGAAGCGAGCTCGCAGGATACTGGAGCAAGTAAGTTCACCTTTCCAGATTCATTCATTCCATTATGTTTTTTGTGTCCTAGGTAGGTTAGCATGGAAGGCTCATTTGCTAATCTCATGTGTATGTCTTGGTATCAAAATACCTTGTGGAGTTCCTTTGATAACCATAAGGTCACACAAACAAACAATTGATTCCATGGAACAAAACAAACAAACTATAATATAAACTAAAATTAAACTCTTAAATGAGCAGTGTGTCTGTTTGAATGACTGACCTTTGACATCCCTAATAATTATAATATTTTTTATTGTTGTACACATGATTCCTAAAATAATTCTACTTTTGTTTCATTAGGTATGTAAGGTTGGCTGCAAGGCTCCTGTAGCCATGATCTCCTCCTGTGGTATGATACCAGGGAATCCATACCCTAAAGGCAGACCCAGCCTGGTCACTGGCACATTCCCTGTAAGTATGTGCATGGCTCTATGCTGAGCTTTGCTGAAGGTGTCCCTGTCCAGAGTAAAAGGATTTTACATACGTTTGCTACAAGCTCACCACCACTACGTGACAACAGAAATGAGAATGTAAATTTTATTATGTCTGTGATATGTAGGTCCATATAGTTAAGCCTGTCCTACCTCCTTGACTCAGCATATTAGAGAACAGAACAAAGTTCAGAATCTGTCTCACCTCCAGCACTGTCTGTAGACAAAATACAAAAGGAGACTGACAGGGAAAATCTTAATGAAATGTTGATGTACTACTTTGAAACTATATACCAATGTTTTTGTTTTTCTTGGTAATTTACAAAGTTACTAAGTTTTTTTTAACATGTGCAGCCTGACCATTGCAAAAAATGTATTTTGTTCACAATCACAGGGAATCCCTGCGGTAAAAAAAGAAGGAGAGAAGAAAGACGATACCTCTAACAGTATGGAGGGGAAAGGAATTGCTTCTCGGATTATTGGACCATTCAAACCTGTAAGCATTAACAAGGGAATTTGTGACGGGGATGATATAATAGAGGCCTCACACGACTGATTATATTACTTAGACATGATAAAGACCTCAACCTAAGTGTTGAGCCTTGTGATATAAGATAATCATAGACCAGGGTGAGCGTGCCAAGTGGACTTGAGTAAAGGCTTTAAGATAGAAGGTGTAAATTGAGTTATGGAAACACACACAGAAACAAATATGTGAGTAATATACTATGAAGAGGAACACATTAATGGCCACCCTTCACATCTGCATATAAAACATGGGAAGTGGCTTTGCGCACTATACTCCAGCATTTCCTATGTTATGAAAGATGTTTGATTTTTGGTATTCATTAACATCTTCCATAAATGTTCACTTGGAATATGGCAACATTATGATATTTGTTGGCTTTTAGATAACCTTACACAAACGCGGTTTGACATGCCATATTTTTCTTTTTGGTTTAATCCTCAATATGATCAATGTGTTAGTTGCCTTTTGTCACCTTTGAAAACTTGCACATACAATTAGGGAAAATCAGAGATCCTAAATCCTTTCAGTTTTGTGTTTTCAGTTTTGAAGATCCCACCCAGAAATTTAAGAGCTTCTTTACGTGAATCTCCTTGAAATAGTAGTAATGTCTACCATTTTGGAAATGTCTAAACTGCTGCCTTTATAGTGTAGACATTGATTGGTTAGTGATACACTTAAAGAAACATTAAATTTTATAATTGGACAGAACTGGCTGATCAGGAAATTGAGTGTTCTATATCTATTGTCTTCCTTTTTAGTTTCCTTCAACCTACAACCCTCATCGGCCTGTGCCCTACCCTATACCACCATGCCGACCCCATGCTACCATCGCACCAAGTAAGAAATAATCCTCTTACACACATATCCCTGCCTTTTCCCTGCTCTGTGCAGTAATCGAAGACTGTATACAACTAATCAATAATAAAAAAAAATGGATATAACAGATACTGAGCTCTAAGCTGACTGAGGAATTAGTAATGCTGCTTTGAGTGGCTCTAAGTTATAGTTAGGCATGTTTTATTACTGCCATCTGGGATTGGGTGAAGTAAAGGTGGTAGTAGGTTGAGTTGTGTGTGATTCTTAAATTTATGTGTGTATCTGCATGAGTGTGTGGTGGACACTGTTAATATTTGCAACTGCTACTCAGGTGCGTACAACAACGCAGGCCTTGTTTCTGTGGGAGGGGTTATAACAGCCAGCGTGCCCCCTCCCCCCTACAACTCCACCCACAAAGTAGCAGGTATGATTCGATGGAAAGCGAGTGTGTGCGCGCTTGTGACAGCAAATAGGCAATCCCTGAAGCTTGCTGCCTAACTTCCTGGCATGCTGCTTACCTGCGCTTCTCCAGTTTCCTGCCTTTATCAGGTGAAGAATGCGCTTCTCACTTCTGTTCACTGTTCACTGAGTGACCAGAAAAATACAGCCCCCTGTTCATTTTAATGCAGTCCACTACAACAGCTGTGTATTGGATTCAAGTTAAAACTCTTCATGTAGAGCTCGTAGAGAGATGTTGATTCAGTTTCATGGTAATTTTTGAGGGGACGTTGGATTAGACTGGATTATATCCAATGCACCTGCTTTTCTGTTACATTTAATATATATTCTTTCTCCTGCATATATGTAGATGAGGTGGGACAATAAGGAAATTATATCTAAACGCCATTCAATAGAACATAAAAACAAATTACAGCCTCAAGAAGTGCCATAGAGTGGAGTCAACAGACAAAGTCTAAAATAGCAGACTCAACAAAAACGAAACAGTATTTTTTGCAAGGCTGTTGTATTGTATTGCTTTACATCTTGCAGAAATTTCTATTTTCTGGTCAGTCAGTGCAGAAGTATGTTTTGGTGATTTGTGAGGACAGGTCTTTGGGTGCCTGGACTGGGAATAACTTCAAACTAATGTCATTAATCTTTTTCTTTCTGGAATCATGCTGTGGGCTGACATTTAACATGCATTGCTTGGGATAACTTATTTTTTGAAGGCAAGGTCTTATCAGTTTTCACAATTGAAATACATCTTTTAGGGCCTTTGGGGACATTTCTGGTCATAAGCACAAAGATGACTTGAGTTTTATTAAATTGAGAAAATGTCCAGATCATAACAGTGTGAGATGTGGTGAAGGTTAATTTGAAGTTACCAAACATTTCCCCAAAGGTAAAAAGAAGACATATTCCAATCTTGAAAATTGTTGGAATATCCATGTAATAAGCTGCACGCAGGGATGCTCTCTGGCTATTCCTCTTTGCTCTGTTTCCTCTCTCATTTTTTATATATTTGAGTGGATTGCTTCTTCTACAATAATTTGTTGGGCTTTAACCTATTCTGTGTATGTCCTGGAATTAAATTTCATTTTTAACAATAACACTATTGATCAGAAAGACACAGAAGTTAATCATTTAATGTACCTATTTTGTACCATTTAAATGTATTTAAGTTTTTTTTCTTTTTCTTAGTTGATTCTAGTATCATGTCAGATAACAGTAGTCATTATTTTTTTTATTTTATAACTTTTCTTACCAACTTGGATCTCCTTCTGCTTCCAGGTTACGCCAAACCAGGAAATCCCCAGAACACCACACCTGGAGTCAACAGCGGGCCCCTCCTCATTCCTCATGGGTCCACGCCGTCTACCCCTGTCCCACCCCAGGCCTCTCCCGCTCAGCCGCCTCCCACAACTCCCATCACACCAGTTTTCCCTGGCATGGTGCCCTCTCACAACCCTAATGCCCCCTCTCCCTCCCCTGCTCCATCCCCATCTGTCATTAAAGCAGGACCACACACCCCCAGTGGTCATGCCACACCTACACCCTCATCTGTCATTAAAACCCACACCCCTTCAGGCACCCCTTGTGGAACTCCTGTCCCTGGTAGTGGGGGCTTCTCCTCTTCGCCCTTCCATGTCGTTTCCCGACCAGGTACCCCCGCTACCTCCCGCGGTGGCCCAGACCTCCTGTCTCAGACAAACTCCATGGGCTCAACTCAACAGAAAATGTTTTCCCAGTCCACAGACCACCAGTCAGGACCCACTTTCCCTGGCATACACCCACAAGCAGGTAACCCCTCTGGATCAGTGATACGAAGTTACACCCCCTCTGGACCACAGTCTCTCACCCCTGGATCATCCACCCCAGGAATTCCAAGCTGTTCCACCCCAGGCCCCAGTCCCAAACCCTCTCCGGCTCACTCTGCACAGGCTCAGGCTGCCATTGCTGCAGCAGGAGTCCTGAACAGGCACACTGGGGGTAGCAGCAGTGGCAGTAACAGCCCTGTGCACTCTGCTTTCAAGGGTACCTCTCGTTCTGGCACACCGTCTGTTAGCTCTCTGGTCGTCCAAGGTTCTGCGCAGGCTGCCCTGGCACGTTCCTTGGGTCTGTCACACCCCTCAGGTTCCCCTCAAGTCTCTCTCCCTAGTCCTGTTGCTATCACTGGCCTCCAAGCTCTGTCCTCTAGCCCAGCTCCCTCTCATTATCCCGGCCTGTCCCCTTTCCCTTCCCTTTCTTCCTCTCTCCCTCCTTCTTCCATCCCTTCATCAATGCCCGCGATGCCTCCCACTAGCAACATTTCTAACCACCCACCAACCTCCATCTACCCAGGCCTGGTTACCAACGCTGCCCCCAGTGCAGCCTCCGCTTTCGGCCTAGGCCTCACTTCTGCCCCTTCTATATTCCCAGGCCTTCCGCCTGGCCCTAGCGCCGCTGCCTTCCCAGGACTGGGTGTGTCAGGGGGGCACGGTGCTGGGAGCCCTGTATTGTCTTCATTCATGGGACTGCCAGGTGCCACTCCATCCTCGGTAGCATCAGTAGCGCCACTGCAGGCAGCGGCAGCGGCAGCAGCAGCAGCAGCAGCGGGGGTTCCATCATCATCACCAGTTTTACCAGGCTTTGCATCTGCTTTCAGCTCCAATTTCCAGCCTGGGTATGTCAGACAAGTTTGATGGGCAATTACAGAGAGCTTTGAAATTTTTAATGTCTAGTATACAGAGACCACTTCATATGAATAATTTAAAATAATCCTAATGATTTCATATTGATTTTCTACTGATATTTAATTTAGTTTCAGACCATAGCAGCAGCAGACTTTGAATGGAGATCCTTGTCTGCCAATTGTATTAGCTGTTACAGAAGGCTTATACTGCCACTCCATCTTTAATGATGCTAGATCACAATAGTTAATAGTTATAATAGGCTCTGAGTAAAAGGTCTCTCCAATGCAATTATAGTTTGGAGTAAATGGTGTGTTTACCTTCACCAGTCTCTAGTCTGCAGTCCCTATCAGTCATTTAATCATTCATTCATTAGGAAGAATATGTAGGAACACCGCATATTTTTTCAGCACTAACACAGAACGGACAGCTAGCCGACCATGAGGAGATATTCACTGAATTTGACAAAAAGTGTGTTAGATTACAACTGCTTACTATCTACCTGTAATTAGAACATGTGGCATTGGTTTCCAATTGCGTGTAAAGTGGTTGATAAATAGGGTATCATAAATCATGTTAAGTGAGTTTCCACTTTGGGTTGTGTTTGATGAGTGGAAACACTGCACTTGCAAAGTGCAAAGTCCACTCCTACTCTGTGGTGTGATGGTTAGACTTTGGTTTATGTTGTCTTGAAGAGGTCCTTCCTGCTCTGCTCGGTGATTACTGCCAGTCATATATTAAGCATGTTATCTTGTTGTGTGTTGTAAGCACAAGCCTCACTTTTTGTTGATATTTCATGCACTCAAGAGACAAGTGGAAGAGCTATTTATTGAACCAGCAATTAATAGTTTTAAATGTTTATACACAGGGAGTGCCATATAGCATAGTAAAGTCTAAGTAAATAAACAGATAAACACATGCACACATGAGATACCAACAATATACCACCTTTATACTACTATTTTGCAACCACTGTTATAAGACGTAAGAAGAGGTATCCACTCTCATACATCCATTTTTATATTCTTATGAAATAAGAAACACAACACAGAAACACAAATTATTTACTTATTTTTGGAGGAATTTTATGCCTTTCTTAGATAGTGACAGTGGAGACAGACAGGAAATGCAGCAAATGATCTGGTGCAGGAAATGTCGTGTGTGATATGCCCCTAACCATTCAGACAGTAAACACAAATATTAATGGACTATACTCAAACCATGTACAGAGACTTAAAGGAATAGTTTGACATTTTGGGGAAATGCTCTTATTCACTTTCTAGCAGAGAGTAAGATGAGAGCAGTTACTACCTGGCGTCACTGCTGGTTGCCTGGTAACTCTTCAGACAATGTCTAGCACATTACCCTCCATGCAACATCAAAATCTGGTCTGTACATGAGATATATAACATGTTAATTATTTAGGTTTAGAGGTGCTGGTATGCTAAGCTAACAAGGAGCTTGCAAGACATTTCCCAAAAATGTTTAACTATTTTTTTCTTAAGTTTTATAGTCTGACAGTAATTATGTGTGTGTTCCAGATTGAGCAGTGGACTCCAGCCTCCAGGAAGCAGTGGGTTCCCCGGCTTGCTGTCCTTCCCTGGGGTACCAGGCTTCTCTCCGTCTGCCTCCCCTGCTACCCTTGGTGGCCTCCACAACCCAACCATGCAGTCTGCCCTGCTGCAGGTAGACACACACACACACACACACACACACACACACACACACACATTACTCGGGGTGAGAACAAGTATTTGAATGCCAGTTTGATAAAGCCTCACTGCTACAAAAACACTACCTTTCTTTGTCTTGTTCCAGGCTCATCCCACATCTGCTTTGGAGAGCTTTCCTCAACAGTTGCCCAACAGTTTCACCAACTACCCTCCAGGCCCAGGAAACACCTTCCCCCTCCAACCAGGCCTGCACCCTCAGTTGGGTTGGCAATGAAATCCACAGTTCTGTTTGAAACGTTAAGTAGACTTACATGTTAACCCCTGTCATACACCCTGCCCTGTTTAATGTTTTGGCCTTGAACCCTACAGAGCACAGGTCAGCAGATATATGTTTCAATATTGTGTACGTTACACCCAGAATGACTCACTATAACGAGGAACACTACCATTGAAAGTTGTGGAGATAGTGCATGGGGGAGAAGGCATATTTCCTATATTATTAATAGTGAACAGTTGTAAATATCAGTTGTCAAAGTTGTTTTAGGTTTTACAAATAGACTGTGACCGGGTTTTAATGTTAGCTGGAATTTGCTGTTTTTAATGAAGATTATCAACATTTATTAGTGAATAATGAATTATAGAAAAATTGAAAAAATGTACATGATATCATGTAATGACTTGACATTATCCTCATGTAGTATCTCATGTCCAATCTCAGTAGAAAGAACATGCTTATGATACTGATTGAGTGTCCTGAATTGAATATTGTATTATGACATGAACTTTAACATTGACATATGGTATATTGAGTCACATTTTGAAGTGAGTACACCATGAATATTTTAAATCCTTGTTCTGTGTCAAGGTTGGGGGTGTTGTATACAAAACTTGCATTTGGCAGCTCCGCTCATGCTTGTGTTATTTTTAGTAAACACTCACTTGTGGCTGTCAGCAGTTTACTGTGATTCCCATTTTGTATGTTTACAATATTCTTTTGACAGATGCGACAGTGCTAGTAGTGCTTTTACAGTATTTGACCAGACACACTGTATACAGATATTTCTGAGGACAATATGACTGTATTCTGCAGTAATGCTTTGCAATGTAGTAAAAACTGTAATTTTTCTTCATTTACTGTACACCTCAGTTAGTACTCTGACTCTGAGACAGTTACTTTATTGTTTGAGAGTAATAGACATTTTGTTTGTTACACTGTGTTGTTTTTGTTTGTTTTCCCTTTTTTGTATTTGCACCTGTTCTATTATTTTGTCAGTAAACTGCTGCTTGCTGTAGCTGACGCTGTCTCTCTCTCTCTCTCTCTCTTCTATGTAGTGCCGCCATAACTATCCAACAGGCCTCTTGAGTAATATTGCTGAAAGTGGACAAAATAATGAAATAATGAAAACACAACTTACTCACAATTACAAAAACAGCGAGACATACAGATCATAGAATAGAGGCCAGACTGTTATTTGCTTTTAAATTTCTGTTACGACTATCTCCTGTTATGTGACTTTTCACAAAATGTGCCAAGATCAAAAGAGGTCGAACAGTCGGATGAACTACATGTGCTCTGGTTTAAAAAAAAAAACAAAAAAACCATTAATGTGGTAAGGGGACATTGTCATGGACAAGCAGCGTAATGGACATGAATTTTGTATCCACAAAGAAAAGGTTAAAAGTTCAGGTTTGTGTTCAGAGAAAGAATCAACTACCATTATATTTCTGTATATTACTAATTACAGCTTGAAAAAAAAAAAAAAGCATCTTCATTGATATGTATACAGTATACAACGAGACTGTGTTCACCCCTGTGCACTAAAATGTTAAATGTTTCAAAGTTGTACCATCTTACAATAATTGTACTATTTGGAAGTTGAAGTGTAGGGTATTTAATCTCATGTGTAATTGATAACAAACAGGTTAGATAGACTACAATGAAAATGTGGACCCTGATATACAACCTCACTGAAACAACAGTCAGAGTGCATGTGATCATTGCAACAAATGTGATTAAGCCAGTTATGAAATAACCTGTGAACACAGCTTGGTCAGTTATTGGCCCGGGTTGTGTCACCTCATGGTAAGGAACTGCCTGTAAGAAACCAGCCTGTTAAATTTCAGAAAGACGGGAGAGGGTACAAGAGCATCAGTAGGCTACTGAACAAGCTAAGCTGACTGACACTTGCAGCAGTGGTTAGGAGGTATAAGAAGAGCTGTACTACCAATAACAGAGGGAACAGTGTCCATCCTCATAGGGCCAACTCTGTCATCAAAAATAAAGGTGGACATAAAAATATTCAGAAACAATAATATAATGGAATCTCAGGGTCTACTGACTTGCAGTTGGCGCTTAAATTAGGACCTTTCATTTTGAGAGGTCAAACATTTCTGTTTTTCAAATTGTCTTTAAAAGCAAATAACATGTATTAAATGGACAGGATTTGTAACTACTTCACATTTTAACGACATTGACCAGGGTTGTTTTGTCATATACCATATGTTGTTTCATTTCCTATTTGCAGTTAGTTTATCCAGCCCTGAGTATTAATGGTTTTATAGCCTCCTTACAGTGCGGTGTGTTTGCCATAATATTGCTCAACATGCTGGTGATGCAATCAGTCATGTGTCCATTAGTCATGAGATCTCACATTGTTACAATTTTTCCATTCTAGATATACTTTGAATTATTCACTAATCATGTTAAAATTAACATCTGCAGTAGAGTGAATGTTGTATTATTATACACATGAAAAAAAGTCTCTGCAGCTTTTTAAGAATCTTAAAATACTATTTCAAGGCAAAAGGTAATTTCAAGGCAAACCTGACCTGATTTCATACAGATTTGCTTTTTGTAAGAATTTGTCAGTTTCTTCAACAGCAGACTTGGACATTAACAAAAGCTTAAACTTTATTTAATTTATGTAATTACCTCAATGTCCCTTGCCATTTATTGTAAAGAAAACTAAGATATTTAAATGTAACAATTTAATAGGAAAACTGAGCGTAACAACATTTTCCCTAAGTGTACAGTTCATTTTGTTCAGTTTTGTTCAATAAATAATTGTCTTTCTGAAGCCTACCTATTTATTTCCCCCTACTGTTTCTTCTTTTTCCTATTGCAAATACCTTCCTTTTCTAAGAACAGGAAGGTCTTTAAAACTGTATTTAATGTACAACATGAAATCTCAGCAGACACCATAAAATATATATGTATTTTTTACCATTGTAGATTCTCTCCAAAAAAGCAGAACAACAACAAAAACAAACAAACAAATGAATAAAACAGAGTCCAACAGTGTCAAACATGCTCATCGTCAGATAGACACAAAAGTTTTAATTAGTTCTATATTCTAGTAGGAAGTAAAATAAAGGAAAGTACAGCATCAAATTCTGTATTTCTACGGCAGAGAAAAATGTCAGGAAGTGATAATAGTTGTAATATTTTGAAACTGGTAAGGCCCACTGTGTGAACTCCCTGTAAGGTAATCTCTTTAGTGACAGCTGCCAGTGTGTGAATCAAGGGGAAAAGCAGGTTTGATAATGTATGAATTTAATATTGCCATATTAAATCATTATATATATATATATATCATATACATCATATACTATCTATTTCAGTATTTTAGGTTGCTTCTTTCATTTCTAAACAGCTAAGCAGGATTTGTTTGTATTTTTCCATGATTGTATACACTCACACCCAGGGGCGCCGCCAGGGATTTTGGGCCCCATGAAAAAATATCACATTGGGCCCCCTCACCAAAGGTAAATAAAAAAATATATATATTTTTTATTTTTTTGGGAGGCCCCCTGTCAGTCATGGGCCCTTAGAATCGTCCTAACTTTTCCCCCCTTTACGGCGCCCCTGCTCACACCCTACATAATTTTACAAACTCTGAGACTTTCTGTGACCTGTTAGCATCATGATGATTGCACTTTGTTGATGATCAACTCAGAGTTGGAGCCACACCTACACCTTCCCGGAGCTACACTATATTGCAGCATTGCAGCTTTAAAAGGCTGGGTGACTCCCTCCTGCCTCAATGCACTTTAACAAACTCACAACACACTTCCCCTCTCAGTTTTGTGCAACACATGGAAATGGAGGACCAAATGGAAAGCCAAAAGAGAAGAGGAATAAGCAAAGATCAGTTAATATGTAAGTTAAACCACATTTCTTACTTAAATTTGCTGTCTTTTCTTCTGAGCTTTAATATTACACAACTGGTTGTGTTAAAAAGTAAATATTACTGACACCAGTCCTTTAAAGGTTTAGATCAACAAAGGAGTTGTTTACTGATCCTTGAACAATCAGCTCCATGTTGAATGTAACTTGCCAGTAAGCTATCAGTTATGCGAGCAGGAGTGTGTTATGTATGCACTGTGGCAGCTCACCTGGTGGAAAGCAGCCACAGAGGCTGGGGCATAGTATAACTCCATTGTCATAGAGACAGAAATCACATGTCACCGAGATAAAGAGTCCCAAAAGCATGTGACTGTCAGTGTTTGTGTGTGTGTCTCCTCTTCATTCGTGTGTGTCTGTATCAATGCTCTGTGGTGTCAAAAGGAAAAGGAGAATTGTTATGTTGCATAGCTGGATTTGAATTGTGTGTAAATGTTCCTTAATATGGTTGCTGATAAGGGCTTGTTTTCATATCAGAGTTTTTTTCAGCATAATTGTTTTCCACTTCTTTGTTATCACCGACCTTTTGGACAGGATCATGTTACATAGATATGTCCCAACTGAAATTTCTTCAAGTACCCAGGTTTCCTACTTTTTTTTATTGTTTACCTATTGTAAAAGAAAACACAGATATAAAAAAATGTTATCGCTGTATAAACTAAGATTATATTAGAACAGCCTTCATAAGATCTTATCCAATATACACATACACTTTCCAAATAACTGTCATAGATCATGTGAAAGAAAGTTTTGCAATAATAATTCGCAATAATGCTCCTTCACAGTTTAGTGTAACGGTGAAATTTGGTTGGAAATTTGATTTAGTTCCACAACAGGAAATGTGGTATCTGTGGTTTGACCTATAAAAAAACAAAACAATCATGTTGTTTATAACAATAGGACAAAGGAAATGAGAACCACAGCAGTGCAAACGGGATGAACTTTTATTATCTTATCATTATTGTCATTCAACAGTGTAATACTACTGGCTGCTCAAGTATCAGTCATAAAACCAAATGCGACTGTGAAATGGAATGACCGGTGACACAATCGTTCTCAGTGTCTGTGTCAGTGGACCGTGTCATGCAGGAAAACTCTCAGGGATTAAGACTGACATGCAGTTATTTGAGATGGAAACTATGATGGAGTATGACACACAGACCTTTCTCTCACTTTGTGACTTTCCTTTATTACCAGAGTGTTACTCCAGGAATCATGCTTCCTGAGTAAACATATTACTGTTTGTACTGTCTGTGTGAGGCTCTGTCTGTCTGCAACCTGCTGGTATCACTGTTAGATTAGCTGGAAAACTGAAGTACAATCCATTAATTAATCCAATAACAATTAATTAATCCAATCAGTTTAATAATATTAATCACTCTTGTTGGCACAAAACTGGCTTGTATGCTCTGCTTTGTATCTCAGCAGTTTTGTACATCTGCTCAGTGGAGATTGTAGTTTCACCTCATCTCCACTTCTACAGGGATCCTAAGTAATTTCAAACCTCTCTCTCTCTCGCTCTCTCTCTAGCTGAGAGGACAGGGTCTTTGGGATGCATCGGTTGGTTCATCGTCATCCTCTCCGGCATCTTCACAATTTGCCTCTTCCCCATCACCATCTGGTTTTGTCTGAAGGTGAGTGAACTCAATAAATCAGCACAATGGGCAGAAGGGCAGAAAACCACCATTTAAACGTGAATGTGAACTGAGCCTGTGTCGCGGTCGTTCCTGTCTGTATTGCAGATTGTTCAGGAGTATGAGCGTGCTGTCATCTTCAGGCTTGGCCGCATCACAGACAGGAAGGCAAAAGGACCAGGTAGAAACCCTGACAATTTCTATACCTTTTGACCAACTGTTCAAAAAATGCTGGATTGGGGGATACAGTTGGTCATTTACAGTAAATAGTAACGTCAGACTGATGAAGAATAGTAACTGTTACTGATGATTTGTTCCCTGTTTTGTCCACAGGAATTTTCTTTGTCCTGCCGTGCACTGATTCCTTTGTGAAAGTGGATCTGCGAACAGTTTCATTTGACATCCCACCACAAGAGGTAGGGCTGATGCAAACAACAGCACAAAACTGTCAGGGGGGGAAATGCTCATTTGCTGCATTAATGAAAATGACAGTTAAAATCTGTGGACACACATACACAAACTGCCATGTTTTTCTATCCTAGATCCTGACCAAGGACTCAGTTACAGTTTGCGTGGACGGAGTGGTGTACTTCCGGGTCAGTGACCCCATCGCCTCTGTGGCCAACGTGTCTAATGCTGACTTTTCCACCCGCCTGCTGGCACAAACCACCCTCAGAAATGTTTTGGGCACTAAGAACCTGGCTGAGCTCTTGTCTGACCGTGAGGGCATCGCTCACAGCATGCAGGTACAGAATCCAAAGCCCCGTTTAAAGATAGAAAGCCGCTGAAACCGGAGCATTTCTCACACTTGAAGCAGAGAACGACTGGAAAATATATGACAATGTTGGGTAAAATGCATTCAATGCTGATAAAAACATTGTAATGTGGGTTTAATAGATTTTTCAAAAGAATTCCCTTTTAGATAATTAACTGCAGAGTTTGATCCATTTCGATTTTGGCATGAAGCCCTAATCTTAGGCACTGTTTGTTGGAGGAGGGAACCACAGGAGTAAAGTATTTTGAAAAATGTGGACAGAGGTTTAGTTGGTTTGACTAATTAACAGCTTCATGAGTAAAATTTCACTATTTTTCCTCAAATGCCCAACGTAGAGGCTATGTGATTAAAACACATTACACTGTAAGATACAGGTGTAAGCTCTTTCTCCCTTTTCCAGTCTAGCCTGGATGAGGCCACAGATGACTGGGGCATCAAGGTGGAACGTGTGGAGATTAAAGATGTGAAGCTGCCAGTCCAGCTGCAGAGAGCTATGGCTGCTGAAGCAGAAGCTGCACGAGAGGCCAGAGCCAAGGTCAGGACATGTGAAATGACACATACAGTACATGCAGTGTACAGTGTTACGCAAGCATGTACATGTATTGCGAAGAAACAAAAGAACAAGGAAAGTGCACACTCGTGTACTTAATAGTTAGATTTACAATCCTTATCTCTCTTTTCTCGCTATACGCGCAGGTGATTGCAGCAGAAGGTGAGATGAACGCATCTCGTGCCCTGAAGGAGGCGTCCCTCGTGATCGCAGAGTCTCCGTCAGCCCTGCAGCTTCGCTACCTGCAAACTCTCAACACCATCGCAGCAGAGAAGAACTCCACCATCATCTTCCCTCTGCCCATGGATGTCATGTCTCACTTCATGAAGAAGTGATTCCTCAGTGACATCTCAATTTGCTGGTCCCCTGAAGTCACTGTTTGATGTGATTAGGGTACATTTCTGCAGCTATGTGTAAAATAACTGTCAGGATGAGAGATAATGCCGTTGTTGAATGGAAGATATTTTTTCAGATGTGTTTATATAGTCAAGCTGTGACCAGAACAGGCCTGCTAACCAATGTGATTTAGATTATTTACAGAATAGTCAGCATAGTTTACATGTCTTTCACAAATAATGTTATGAAACTGGTATCATATTAAGATTATATAATAAAAATTGTCTCATGCATCATGATATTGTACTTTATTATGCAATGTTGATCAGCATATTTTAATACAATAAAATGCATAGTATATTAAGTCATTAGAGTCGCCAATTAACTTAATGTGCATGTCTTTGGACTGTGGGAGGAAGCCGGGGAGTACTCACTGTGTAGCACAGGGAGAACATACAAACTCCACACAGAAGGGCCCCAGGCTCAGGGTTCGAATCCAAACATCAAAATATAGTAAGGCATGAAAGACTCATAGTGTAGTAAGTCATTAAAACGCCATAGTATAGTAAGGCATAGAAACGTTATAGTATGGGAAGGAATGAAATAATTCATAGTATATAAAGACATAAAAATGTCATAGTATAATGAGGCCTAAAAAAGTCATTGTATAGTAAGGCATCAAAGCGATTGTGAATGTGAATCCTGAATATAATACAATACAATAAATCCCACGACTTTTCTTAAACATTTTTAATACTGTGTTCTCCCCAAAAAGTACAAATAAATCATCAACATACTGCGTATACATTACATGTTGAAATATCTCATTCCTCGTCCTCTAGGCCTCCTACTGTACGCTACAGTTACATTTTGACCATCACAAATGCAGAGAGGTAAAAGAAGAGAAAGGGAGAGCGAGAAACAGCAAAGACAGAAAAAACATGCTTCTATTACTTTCTTGGTTGCACTAAGACAGCTCATGTCGTAAATATATTTACATTCAAACATACAATCAGTGCCTGAACAAATTCAGTAAACTTTGTCTCTGGAGCAAATCCACACAGGGGGGGGGTAATTGTATAGCTTACCTCCACAAATTTAAATTCTAGTGCTGAAACTTGACAAACCATGGAAACATTTGCTACAACAGCATTTAAATATCAACATGGACGTTTGAATTTCTAATAAATTACCCATGTTTCTTGAGGGGAGGCTCAACCAAGTGCTACATATTAAATGGCTGCTACATAGTGGTCAGACAAGAGGCCCTTCTATATTAAAGAAAATCACATGAATGACTGGTATAAAATGCAGTCATTACATTTTTTGACATTCAGCGCATAGCGAGACACAGATGTCCACAGGACACATTGAGGGGTCATTACAATACCAGTTCATTGTTTAGAAATCATTGTCCATTCAAAGGTGAAATATCAATTTAAGATGAAGTCGGTAACTTTATGCTGTCATTTGTAAACATTCATTCTGTTGCATCCTTGTAGACTGTATTTTTTGCACCTGAATTGACCTTTAGGAGGACCCTGAAGAATCATTCAATGACGTAGGTGAACTACAATCCTAAACATTTGAAAACACAGTGACTTTCTGACTGGTATATTCTTACAATTGCTTGTTATGCAAAGACATTCTCAAAATCGTCAGCGTCGGTATAAAATTGGTGAGAATTGAGATACATTTCTCAAATCCTATGCTGTTGTTGACATTCTTTTGTTTTAAGAGCATTTAACCCTGTGTATGTATCATACAAAAAAATTTGAAGAGCCATGAAAAGAATCATTTTTCACTTTTCCACGACCATCAAAAGTGCTGGTATAGCAATGAAAGATCCACTTAAAGGTCTTTTACTCAAAAACTGACAACCCAGAAATGTCATCCTTCACACCCCCCATACAACTACTTAACTTTTAACAATATCAATTAGTTGCTACCCCTAACCCATGCTCCCATTAGCAATTTGTCTATAAATACCAACACATATTTACCCTCATCCCTTCTCACTGGCCTTGTTCATTTACAGCAGCTCATTTTCATGTGTAGTCTGAACAGCTTTCGCTTAGTGTGAATAAATCACCGAATAATACTGTCGTGTATGATACTGTCGTTTCAGTGTTGACTTATTCAAAGCCAGATGAAAGATTAGGACCCTGAGGGTAAGTTAGTCAGTAGAGAACAGTACAGGAGGCAGCTATGACATACTGTATGCTATAAAATAGTTCTTATTTTCATACACCAAAGGTTGGTTTCTCTGTTGTATTTTATATAAGTGGAAAATTATCTTGGGAAATATCTTGTCTATAATGTTCTGTAAAGAAGCTATACAAAAGAAAATTGAAAGCATTTCTAATCTAAATTTAGAAAATAATTCCCTGAACAATATAGTCTTGCACACTGAGATTTCAGTGTAGTTTGCAACAAGTTTAGAACATAATAATCAAAGAATAAAAAGTGTCATACAGATAAACAAACCGGAAGGGGTTAACCAGAGGTTATGAGGAGGTTCACACAGGTTCAGAAAGGGCTACACTAATCTAGTACATCACAAAGAGGTAAACAGAGGGATAACCTGTGTTTTTCTTCTTTTTTTTTTTTTTTTTTTTTTAAATCTACATAGCTTATAGACTCATATCATATCATACGACTGTCCCCTGAACACCACCTATGAATGTGATGACAACAAGCCAAACCACCACTTGTGTCCCATAGGTGATATCTTCAAAGTTACAAACCTCATTCATTTCCTTCACACCTCAAGCTTAATAAATAGACCGATCACAGCAATAATAAGTTTCACGTTAAGACTGGAAGACTTTCACAGTACATGCTTGCTTAAGTAGCAAAATACATGTAACAAATAAATTAGATATAAACATCACATTATAAAGAAATCTACAACAATCTTTAAAACAGTGATTCCTGTGCTAGGTTTCCCCTTTAGCTCTGAGCTCCCTGGTTGCTGTGTGTTTTTGTTGTTGTTGTGTTGTTGTCGTGACTGCACATTCCCGCTGAGGTAAATATAAAATGGCAGACGTAGTTTTTGCGAGTTGACCTGAGGGATCCCGAAAGTGAAGAGTAGCTCATGTGGCGAGAAGCTGTAGGAAGACCTGGCAAGGTTTTTTTTTTTAAAAGACTTTGAATATAAAGTCCTGTGTATTTTGCAGGTAAAATGGCTGGGGTTCCAGGGAGGGTCGTCCCACACAAGTAAAATATCAGCACTGCACTCATTACAAAACGTTAAATACACCTTGGAGAGGCTGAGAAACATGATTTGCTGTGATTTACAAACCAATTCTTTATGCAAAGTCCTTTTCATCAAATAAAATGCTGGTCATTCTCTGCTGGTGAGACGGCAGGACCAAGTATAAGGCGCTTTGTTGGGGATTTTTCCAGATGAAAAAAACAAAACAAAAACATTTCAGCAGAAAACTGATTCAGTTCAATTGCAATTCATTGTTTAAAACGGAACTGACTATGAGAACAAATCTCAATGAGAAAGAATATAGCTTATTTTATCAAGGACGACTATTGTATTCTGGTGACAAGAGTGTGCTACTTTCTGTCTGTTTCTGTCTATGTGGGACTCATGACTACCCATGCAGGGGAGGTTTAACTACTATCTGTGTCACTATCATACAGTATATACAGTCTACGTTTCAAGACTCTGCATTAATACAAGTTGGAATAAAGAACTGAGCTGCAGTCACTGGCATCAGTTTTCCCAATTACAGTATTCACCGTATCTCTCTGTATAAAGTAGATGCATGATGGACACCACCAGCTGTAGAGGCGTTGTAACCTCTGTGCTTTGACACTGTCTGTCCAGTTTATCCTGTGATGACTCTAGACCACAGTCATTGTTCTTCTCCAACATGTATTACAATTCCATTCACATTCAAAAAAGGGGGGAGGAGACGCGAGAATGAAGGGAATGAAAGAGAATGAGCCATGTAAGAAACTGGAGGGAGAAAGATGCGAGTCTATCTCTGTAAAGAGTTGAGACTAGCGGGTGAGTTACAGCGGTTGACCGATGCTCTGTGTGTGGGCGTGGCCGGGCCGGGGGAGTAATTCTGATTGCTTGCTGCCCTGTGAGTGGGTGTGGCAGGCCCCGGGGAGAGATTTTGATTGGCGGTGGCTCTGTGGGAGGGGGAGGAGTACTGAACTTGCTGGGAACAGCCGCAGCAGTGAGTGGGGGAGTCGCACCCTGTTACAGGTGAGGAGGAGAAGAATGGGGATGAGGGGACGGGGGAGGTGGAGAAGGAGCGGTGCAGCGGGGAGGAGGCGGGGGACATGAGGGGACTGGTCTGGAGACGCCAAAGCAGCTCCTCGTTGTTCCGACTCAGACGCTTCTTCTCGGTGCTCTCCTTCTCCACAGAATCCTGGAGGTTGGCGTTCTCCTCTGATAGTTGCCTACAGAGAGGAAAAAAAAAAACAGCACAGAGGAAGCTAATGTTAGTATACAGATGATGAGGATAGCAACAGTAATGTTAATGATGATGACTGCATGTGTCTTACCTGGAGAGGGCTAGGTTCATTTCTATACGGGTCTTCAGATCTTCATTCTGCTGCTGCAGAACCTGGACCCTCTCCTCGAGGAACACGTTCTTTTGGGCCTGCTCAAAAGTAGAATACAACCACAGTGCAATCTTTCATTCACCAAACACATTGACCATTATGTGTATCCAGACCAGAGCGGTGTGCATGTGTGTGTTTTGTGTAGCAGTGTCAGTGGAGACAGGGGTATGGGATGGCTTATTTGAGCCTACCACTCTCTCCAGGTCGGTTATCTTCTTCTCTTGTTGGTGTATCTGCTGGTTCTTCATTTCTACAACCTCCTTCAGGCTCTTCAGATCTTGCTCAATGTGCTGGTACGGAGCTAAAGCATCCTGTTACAGAAATGGGGTTTTAGAAACGTAGCACTTCAGTATTGCAGGTTCAATATATAATCCAGATGTCTACATCTACATCATTTCCTGTGAAACAAGAGCGTGATGCATGCAACTCACAACTATCTGTTCGTCTGTACTCCTCCTCAAAGCTTCCTCAAAACGTTTGGCTTTGTCCCTCAGACTCTGATTTTGAAATGTAAGAGTATCCACTTGATCCTGAGCACAAATAAACACACACACAGAGTACAGATTAGTGTGCGTCGACCAAAAAAATAAAACATTCAATTTTTTAAAAGGGTAATCATACCTGTAGAGAAAGCCTGAGTTTCTCAAAATCCTCCTCTAGAAGCATCTTCTGTTGCTCATGAGCTTTCCTTAAGTCTACACACAGATTCAGAAACACAATAAAAGAGAGGTGGGCTTGTTTGTGGCAGTGCTGGTGTCATGCTGTGTTATTTGAACAATGAGATCTAAAATCATACCTCTCATGGTACGGGCGTGCTCCTCATGCAGTGTTGCCATGGTGATGTTATGCATGTCTCTGAGCTCCTGAATGGCTGCCTGGTGGTTGACTGTCATCTCCTCCACCTAAAACACACACATACGCACGCACGCACGCACGCACACACACACACACACACACACACACACACACACACACACACACACACACACACACACCTTTAATAACTGACCAGACTTCATGTTGAAAGCTCCGATCTCATCAAAGATAATATAAAACAGACACATCTCCCATGATGCCTTCTTTCTCACCTGCTCCTGTTGCTGGGTCCTAAGCTCCTCCATCTCTGACTGATGCTCCACCTTCAAGTGTTCTGTCTCTGCTGAGTGACACTTTCTAAGCCCCTCCTCCACAGCAGCCAGCTCTGCCTCCTGCTGCAGCTGCAGCTCCTGCAACTCTCGCTCAAACGCCACCTCCAGAACTGTCTTTTCCCGCTGGAGTCTCTCCCAACGGGCTGAGTTAGATGCTGTAGACGAAGTAGAGTGTGTTTTTTATATTGTGATATTGCCACAATTAATTAACTTTCATTTAAGCTTGATAAATCTAAAAAAAAAACAAAAAAACAAATCTATTTGGGAGTCCTTTTATATGATAGCATACATTTGATGTTTTTCATATTACATACAAACCTCTTTAAAGTAACCAATGCTTAATGACAAAGTGCTCTTTAAGTAAATTGTCACAGAAGATATTATGAAATATTGCAGAAAGAAAAGCACAGGTGTGAAAAAAATCAAATGAGTGACGGCTAAATTCCATTTAGCTGCTTCAGTCCCACGGCACTGTTATTGTGCCGGCTGTCACTGTCACACTGTCACGGCTCCCTGGGACACTTGATTAGGACTGAGCTGTCGTTAATGTTATTAGAAACACCTGTGTTTTTCCTGCTATGACAATCAAAGTGTGTGCTGTGAATAAAAGGCCTGTCTGTTGCCTGATGTGACTGATTAGGTGATTTGCTTGATCAAACGCCGGCTCTCACTCACCCATTTCCTCTCTGATCTTTTGCATTTCCACGGACAATTTCCTTTGATTTTCTTCTGTAGTTTTATTCTGAAAAATGGAATTAGACAGCATTTTGACACGGTGTGTGTTCCAAATACCATTTAGAGTATGGATGTAAATGCTGAAACAGTTAGTTGTGATGTAATAATACAGTTTCTTGGTGTGTTAACCAGAGTACACACTTTTAGAGCCATGTGTGGCTAAAACAGACCAAAGAAATGCCCTGCACAAAACCAGTCACTCCTAGATTTAAAAAAAAAGAAGACATACAAATATAAAAATGAAACAAAATGATGTATATATATATATATATATATATATATAACATAGAAAAGATCCTGAAATGCTGGTTAAACTGAATTTTACATACATTCACGTACTGTAAACAGCATGTTGTTGTTATCCACTGGCTGGCAGACTCATGCCAGCAGAGGGAGCTCAAACCTACTCAAACAGACCTACACAGCAGTTCCCTCCTCTTCATCTGCACTGTGGGCCAGTGATTGCAGCACTCAGACAGTGACCATAAAGAAGTCAGACAGTCCCTCGGCAGTCTGGGAGCAGTATTACAGCTATAGCACCTCGGAGGCTAAATGGGTGAAACCGGCTCAGTGACACACGAGGACCCATCCCACAGTCACAATCACTCCTGCTGCTCATTGTGACTCTCACCTCATGGTGTTAAATACTGTGACTCTCACGTCATAGTGTTAAATACTACATGTGGTCTTGGGTTCATGTGTGTGTACTGTGTGTACGTGTGCCACACAATCCAAGCTCAGAGTAAATGGAAAAAGTTGAGGGACATATGTTGTAAATCTACATGGGATCTCAGATGAACCTTTAGATATCATTCCAGCTGGATACCTTGAGGCAGTAATGCTGAGTGGTGATGATGAAGGCTTCTAGGCCTAAGGAGGTCTTCCTCAGTTCCTCTGTTAGCACTCTCATTTGCCTTTCTTGCTGCTCACAGCGTCCCTGCAGCCTCTGAACCTATGTGACAAAGAATTTTAAAAAAAACAAAACAGAATAAACCAGAACAGGACAGAGCAAACTCCAAGTGGAGCTGCAGAACTTCTCAACGACTCACCTCCTCCCTTTGCTCCTCTTTTTCTCTCTCCTCTGCTTGCCTTTCTCTCTCTTTCTGTTGAGCCTCCTCTTTCTCTCTCTGCAGGCTCTCCTGCTGTTCCTGCTGCAGCCTGAGTGGGGCCACGCGGCGAGGGGACCCCGGGGGAGCCGACCCTCGCACTGCCGCTGCGGGCCGCTGCACAGACTGGACTGTAGGGAGAGAAAAACCAAACAGAGAAAATTAAATTACCACTTACAAAATGAATCTGCATGAGCATGTTTACAAGAAATAAAAAACACTATAGATACATATGATATGGAAATATTCTATTGATATCTCCCATATGTCATTAATTAGTCATGTACTAACTCTGAAATATAACTATCTATCTATAATAATGAAATTGATGAGTATTAAATCAGAGGAGATTGGGCCTGACCTATTGCTAATGACCGTGTTCACATGATAAATGACAGTAAGTTAATTGAATCTTTTCTACAGAGGAAGCCCTGGGGTAATTCCCAGTCTGCTTTTCCTCATGATGGACCATCTAATCTCTTGATGAATGTGATCAATGTCAAGTAATGACTGAGCTGCAGCATACAATAATATATACTATTTGTATATACCATGTACATATACTATTTGTACTGTGTGTCTGTAAAAGCATTAGGAACATTCAAGTAACAGCTTAATCCATTAATAAGGTCATTTAAAAGCTAGACACACGGGAACAAGTGAGGGCCATTTTCTCTTTGGAGGAGGGTTCCTATTAAGCTGCAGTTGACATACAGACAGGCCTATTAACCTCTGTGTGAGTCACCTTCTCAATGCAGTGTCAACATGTTCTAGCCTGTGGAGACACAGCATCAGTACACGGCATCATTCGGACGGACGGAATTCTTTTAAATTTTATCGCCTTTATGTCCACAAACGAGCATGTGTGAGAGCATGATTGTCTTTACACACAATAAAGAAATCACTGCAGCTCCACGTCACCTGCCTCAACCATCTCATTCTGGCTTACTGAAGCATGGGGAATGGTTTCCATGACAACGGGAGGCTGGGCTTGGGGTGCAGGGTCCCAGGTAATGAGTGAGAGATCGGTTAGAGGGAGGTGGAGGGGATAAAATGAAGGGAGTGCTGCGATAAATGAGAGAAGAGAGCGGAGAGAGAGACAAGGCGTTCACTAGGAAGGTGTGGGGAGGCACCTGAGGGTGCTGAATGATTGTAATGGTGATAGATGTGAAAAGAGCTAAAGGTATACAGTAAACACATACACACAGTGGCCAGTGTATGTGTACAAATAAAACCTGAAACATGGGGAAGTCCTTTCTGCACTAAGAGAAAAATGAAAGAACTAAACATCAACAGACAAAAGACACATTTCTAAAAATATGCAAAACTGCAAAAAGTGCAAATGTTTCAGTATTACATCTTTATCAGTGTCTTTGCCTTAAAGGCACATTAGGATTCCCCGTCTTTGAAAACGATTTATGTAAATGATGTCTAGCTCTGTTGCAGGCACACACACACACACGCACGCATGCACGCACGCGGGCGCGCACGCGCGCACACACACACCTGAGTTAGAGTTAGAGAGAGAGAATAGTGAATACTAAATATGGCTGAGTGTGAAGGCAGCATGCAGATGATGACAGAGGGGTTGATGAAAGCAGAATAATGAGGCAAGAAACAATGAGAAAAGGTGATGGCAGACCTTGTGGGGGGCAGATAATAGTATGTGTGTGTGTGTGTGTGTGTGTGTGTGTGTGTGTGTGTGTGTGTGTGTGTGTGTGTGTGTGTGTGTGTGTTTACAGGGTGTGGTTAAAGGTTTTCAGGCTGGGTTATTCATGGAAGTGAATTTCAGTTTCATTTCAACACACACTGACATTTTGCTGACACACTGTCCAGACCGGCTTCAGGTAGGAGCAACACTAGACAATGTCAATATCTGTAAATCGCAGTAAACAAGAGAAAAGCTACAATGCTGAAACTTAGAAAGAAGAAAAATGTTTTTTATTTTATGTCTGCGTGGGAGGAGACGAGGTCCCGCAAAGAGCAAGTAAGATGCCATAAAGAGAAGGGTGAGCAGTAACAGCGGTGAGTAATGTGAGCAAAGAGAAAGGTGTAGCCTGAGGAGATGTGTGTCAGCTCTGCAAGGAAAGATGGGGAGGCCCTGTGCAATCCTGCGAGAAAATGATTTTACCACAGCAGAGCCTAGAGGAAGGAAAGTTCAGATTACATAGTTCAAATCAACTTCGAAGGATGTGCTAACTTTGAAGCTGTGTATGACCAGCACTGTATATTTCTGAAATGGATGCAAGCCGCTTCTGGGTGCGGGTAGACTGAGAACAGGTCATAAATAGAAGGACTATTTTTTACGGAAAGGTTTGGAAAGGTAGATGATCAAGTGGACAGGAAAAGGAGAAGTAGGACTCACAGAGAGAGGACCAGAACTAACAGACAATCCTCTCACTTGTGTCACTCATGACCGTTTGCAGCAAGGCAGCAGATGCACCACCACTGGTTTTTACATCAAAAATAAAATCCAATACAATCAGTTGAGCTCATTTCATAGGAGCTACACATTGTTTGCATCTGGTTTCACTTGGTAACAAACTGCAACAAATATGTAACACAACAACAAAAGTCAACTATTCATCTGTGTCGATTCTGCAGACGTTGGATTAATGTTATATAATATTAGACACAATTCATTTTCTTGACTGCTGCTCAGATTATTGGTTAATCAGATGTGCAATAGTGATAGCAACAGTGCGATCAACACTTGGCTCTGACCAGTTTCAGGTAGACAGCAGATATTCACATTCATATTCAATTTTTTTTCATTGATTGTGCTTGTTACCTTCAGCAACTTTGTGTGTGTTACTGACAGGCACACAAAGTGAACATACAGATATTTATTTTGTATGGTTTGTTGTTGGTAATGAGAGAAAGGACTCACCAGGGGACTGAGGTTTAGGAGGAACCACAGCCAGCCTCTTCGGGGAGGACGGGAGGGAACGTGTGACCTCTGAACTCCGCTGAAACTCCTTCCTGCCCACTGTCAATCAATCAAAGGATAAAAACCAATCAATGTGACATTTGGCTAATACGTGACAAAGCATATGAAGCAGTAACATGTTGAAAAATTTATCTGAGCTTTATATAACATTATGTTAATCAAGTTTCCTCACACAAGCATCAAACCAACAGCCCGTCCCTGTCGACTCCTCACTCTCTACTTTTTTTTTCCTCTTTTCCATTTCTTTGCTGATTTTCTTCTCTCCTAGCTTTTTTTTTTCAATCTTTCTGTTACCCTCTTGCTTTCATCTCTAGCTATCTCCACCCCTGCTGTGTAGTATAACTATATCCCAGGGGACTCTGGGTCAAAGAGAAGCCGAGCATACTGGAGGAGATGTGCCCATCACCTCCTTGCTCTCCGTGACACACTTTGCAGCCAAGACAGACAAGAATCAGAAACTCTGAGTACTTTTTTAATTTTGTTTCTGAGCTCCCGCGTCTTCCCTTGAGTGTTACGTTAAATCTATCGAAGAGCTGGTGAGGTGTGTGAGTGTAAAGAAAATAGCTGGATTTGAAACAATAAATGTGAGATGTGTTACACAGGAGCGAAGAGTGATGAAAAGTGGGGAGGACATAAACTGTGTTGAAAAAAAATAACAGATGATACTGAATAAAGAAGTAGGTTTCAGGAGGTTAGCAGGGAATCTGTTGTGAAGCACGGAGGAGAGGAGGAGAAAGGCCTTGAAAAGAGACTAATTAGACCTGTAATGGGAGCGAAGCCTCTGATCCTGAACAAATCCCCATATAACCCTGGAGAGATAGCTTGGGCCTGAAGAGACACCGTGTGTGTGTTTTTCTGTGTGTGTGTTTGTTCACTGTGCAAGTGTTGGTGTGGTGATGTAAACTTGGCTCTCAGAGTGACTCATTACTGCCAACACACACACACTGCTACAAAAAACTCAGCAAGACTATTTTTAGTATGGATGTGAAACAGCTAGTTGGTTCTGGATAATGTAATTAGACTATGAGTGTAGGCACAGCTAAATGCTAATGTCAGCATGCTAAGTTGCTCACAACGCAATAATGTTATAAGAGCTATAAATGTTCACCATCTCAGTGTAACCTACTAGTATGCTAACATTTGCTAATTAGCACTAAACACAAAGTACAAATGAGGCCGACGGGAATGTCATGTACAAAGTTGGATGGCAATTCATATAATAGATATTAAGGCAACAGTCAGGAGATCACCAGAGTCATTGGTCAAAATCGTCCAATATTACTGATCTATTTCAATATTGACATCCATGGAGCCATAGTAGCGGCAGGGCTAAAAACCAGCGCTTATAAAATTGCACCTCATGTCTGCCAGAATGCCATTAGACACCTCTCCTGGAGGTCAGCATATTTATGGTCAAAAACTGAACTTAGATGAACTATGGACTGGTGGAAAATGCAGTCAATGCATGTTGTGCTCACTTGTGCAGCTGTTTAGGATAGTGGGGTTGCATTTCAGTTTATGGTTTTATGTTTGCACATGTATGAAAGCTTGGTCACCAAAGAGTGTTGAGTATTAATAAATGTAGTTATTGTGTAGTTGTCTGGTCTACATCCCTGTATTTCTGTAGACCTGTCATTCAATCTGAAAGAGACATAATCAGTTTTGTATGTGTTCAATGAATGAAAAAAGGAGCACAATTGTTATGATTGTAAGACTAGCATAGTTTGGGCATTATGCCACAATGTGAGTGTGTGTATGTGTGTGAGAGTCTCAGGTGAAAACTTGCTATGGGCTCAGCAAGACAGAGGTGTCTGTCAACTGATAAAGTGTGTGTGTGTTTCATAAAATGTGTGAGTCTGTAATGTCTGTACTGTGATCGAGAGACAAAGATTGAATATACAGTACAGATAAAAAGTAGTGTCGGTGCATGACTTGCAGGCTGACAGGGAGTCCTCAGGTATTTCTTCATCAATAATTTACAACACATTTAAAATCAGCTCAGGCCTACAGAAACACAGGGTGACAGAAATTTTCTCACAGCCACTACACTGTCTGCATCCTCAACACCCAGACATGACTGTCTGGAAGCTCTACATTGTTTTGCTGTTTAGATGTATTTCACCTTGGTAAGTTGTGCTCATTTTTAGAGATAATGTTACAGCACGAATAACAGAATTCTATGTTGTTCACTCAGTCAGTCACTATAAAAAGAGACAGGTGACATGTGTGAGTGAAGTGTGATACTACACGGCTTGTGGTGTTAATTTACAATTAAAATACAACCGTGTGCAAAAACCATCAACCATCATTAGAATCTACTGCAGGTAATGTACCGACTATATATGACTACCTCACACACCCCCACGTCTAAAAACCCAAACTATCCCTTTAAAAGCTAAAACGCAATTTTTAGGAATAAATGGCCAAAATGAACACCCTTAACAACCTTAGGAGGTACGCTGCATTGCATTGTTACAGGAGTACACACTGTGCTTCTTCTACCATAGATTTCTTGCAAGGTTATACAGGGTAACTATTTAACATAAATGTAAAATACTTGTCAAAGTACTGACACTGTTGTCGTCCACATATGTGACAATATGGCACAATCTGTTGGTGGTGGACAAATGCATCTCTCTCTCACATGCATGGAGCTCAGATTTGCATGTAATAGATATCGTTCCAGTTGTTCACAGTTTTTGGTGGATCTAAATGTTTCAGTTAGATGGATTTGATTGAATTTTGATTGAAGTTTGTCCACATAGAAATGATTCTGAGCCAAATGAGATAAAATTCTCACATTTTAAATATTTCTACCGAACAAATCATTTCCGTTGTCGAAGCGATAATCTATAAGTCATTCTCCATAAACCACTTCTGACCTCCAGGGGAGCTTCTTGGCTGGGGGGGCAGGTAGCGTCGGGGCAGAGCCGGGGTGGATGGTGGCTGGAGACTGTTGCTGCGGCATGGTGCGCTTCTCTGGTGATCTGTTGATGGAGGGCTGGTGGTCACTCTGTGAAGAGGAGGCTCCTCACTCACACTCAGACCTGAAATACACAGAGTTAGATAAATAAGTTCACATAACTGTCATAAAGAAATGTTCGTTTACAGTAGGATTTATCGCCAGGCTTCCATCTCAGATTCATTTGCCGTATCTTTCTTCCCCTTATGATCACATATTGGTTTTCCCACAATCTGATAGGGCTGTGCTATGTCTGAATTTAGGTTCACTGGACTGAGAAATGGTTCGTAACCTCTGAGTCTTGCTGCTGTTGCTCTCAATTTTCCTTTTGTTAACCTGGAGCAGCGCTCACACACACACACACACACACACACACACACACACACACACACACACACACACACACACACACACTACCAGTCTGACACACAAGTTTACAAAGGTACAATGCTTCAATGCTTCCACATGAGCACATATACACACAAGAAAACACAATGCACGCTCACACATAAGCGCCCTGCTCATCGCTCATCCTGGCTTATAGTGAATATAATCTATCAAATGACCAGTGGATAGTTTACACACGCTCACAGAGCGTGTATATCCCCGCTCATCTCCCCATCCCCGATCAATAATGACACAAGAGATTGCCTGCACAATGCGATCATGTGACTAATGTAAAGCTGTTTGCAAGAAGCCATGAGATGGTGATTAAGCTATGTCGCACAACTTGTACCTCTCTTGAAAATTCAGTTTCTGTTTGCATTGTTTTATGTTTGCGCCAAGTCCCTCAGGGATGGTTCGCCCCAGGCAGAACTCATTTATTCAGAGGAGCAGCTTTGGTGCGGATTGTTTTGGTGACCAAAGGATCCTACCTTCCTGTGCATATACAAACAAGTGCACAAACACATACACATACACTTCCTAGTGAATACATTATTGTAAAATCCAAGCAATTTCTCCAATTTATTTACTTATAAAAATAAAGACTAAATTTACTGCATGCAACACAATGTATGCATACAAACCCATACTTTGTGTCTCTAGAGACCGGGGGCCATATTAGGCCTCCACACATTTATTTTATTTAGTTAGGCTCACAGGTTTGTTCTATTCTTCAAACTATTTGTTTTAAATATATATATAGTATCAAAGAGTCTCAGTTTATAAAAGTACCTGTTCTCTGGTGCAGTGCCAGTGTGTCGAGTTCAGCACTTTCTTTGATATTGGTTGATGGAGTGCATTTATAATTTGGGTTCAGTGTTTTGCCCAAGGATACTTTAAACATGTGAACAGAGGGAGCCAGGTATCGAATCACTAAACCTGCGACCACAGCCAGATTGCAATGACAGCAATTAATAAGTCATGCACAATTGTGCATGTACACATATAAACAGAATATATTAGGATATGTTCAAAGATATCATTAGGTCCATATCATTAGGACAACAAAACAAACAAAGAAATCTATTCTAAAAATATTTTTCGCTTTCCTATCCTGTTTATCATTTGGGATTTTAGATTTACTGTGCAACCCAGTGTTGGGTCCTGACCTCCTAGTCTGGGAACTACTACTTTACATATTTCTCAATGTGAAATGAAAATCCACACATAAATAAACATGCTAGCTTGCACATATGAGGATGCCTCTGTCTATGATCTCTCATTTCTGTGTATACATGTGCTTCTCACATTTCTACATCACCATACTAGTGATGAATGAAAAGTTCCCAAAGCTTCATTATCAATCGATCAATCAATCAATCAATCAAACTTTGTTTGTATAGCACTTTTCATACAGGTTAGTGCAGTTCAAAGTGCTTCACAAATGACTGATAAGCTAAAAAGAGAAAGACAAATAAGTAAGAAAGCTGACAATGAGATAGAATAAAATAGATCTCCTGCTTTTCCAGCTCCACCACAAGCTGATTGATGAGGCTGTTTACGGTATATCCTCCTCATTTACCAGTCAAGCGAATGGGCAGCATCTCAGGACCAGATATGATCTTGGACAGAACACTGCACTGCTGTTACTGAGCTCTGCATTTACTGCTGTCAAAATCCCATAAAATATATTTTTTAAAATGAAAGAAATTAAAATATTTGGTATCAACCTCAAATGCTTTTGCTGGTGCTCAGTTGTCTGATTGACACAGAACAATTGACCAGACAGAGATGTGCTCATTAGTTATAGGTCAAGTATGTACCCACAAAGTCCCAGAGCTTCACAGAGCAGAGAGAGGAAGAGGTAATGGTGAAATTGACTAGTCAGAGATATAAAACGGAGGAATGCAAATCATGAGTGATAAAAGATGAGATAAAAGAGAGAGTGCAATTCAGGGGCGCAGAGAAAGAGAGAAAAAGAGATATCTTTCATTAATGGCAAAAGCAAGCTGATATGCATCACTGATTGGAAAAATGCCAGCCGAGGATGGATAACAGAGCGTGAAGAGGGATAAGAAGAAGGAAGGAAGAGACTGGCTGTATGGGATCAGGAGGAGGCAAACAAAAAGGTATAAAAAGGGAGAGGAAGAGGAATAAATCGAAGGCACTGCAATGGAGCCGTCAGCAATCTTAGCACATGATGATGGATGAAAAAAAAACAAAACAAAGATTTTAAAAAAAGGGACCATGAGCGAGAGGAAACAGCTGAGAACAAAAGACAGCAGTTTTTTCCAGCTCAGTGGGAGGCCGTGTTATTGGAGCAGCTTGCTCCTCAAAGCAAAACTAATGCCAGCAAAATAACGCTGACTCTTATATCTCAGGCCTCATACACTAACTGGAGAGGAAACAGATATTGAAGCGTCAAGATGAAATTGAGCTTTGTGCCTTCTTAGAGTTTTCCCTTGGCAAAACGGAAATGCAGTTCCATGCTGCCTGCATGCGCACCAGTTGTTGGCGCAAAATCTGATAGCAAAACTGCAAAATGTAGACCTGAGAGCTGTTCCATTTGGCTGTAGCAGAACTGAACATGGTGTAGTCTGTATAAAGCACAAGCAGCACACATCCAGGCGCACACATGCATACACACCCACTGTTGAAGTGGACCTACTACACAGCGTGTAGTGCTGCCACGCCAAGGAAATAGCTCCTGTTTCTTCAAAAACACATTGCCCCTGGGAAATAAGTGGATATTTTAGATTGTATTGTATTGTATATTGTAAAAAAAAAAAAAAAAAAAGGATCATTGGGTTATTCAGGGGATAGTTGATAAGCTGGGTGGTGGCTATGATGTGGGAGGATAGGGAAGTTGTAAAGTTCCGAACTCAATTATTTTATTAATGTTTTATGAGCATTTCCATGTTTAATACAGTGGTGGAAGAGGTTAGCAAATACACATTATGCAGAATGGGCTCTTGTAGAGGGATAATATTATATATACACAATATTGTTTGATTATTATTACTGGTGCATTGTAAAGCAGCACTTTAATCTCGTAGCTCGTTGAAGTGGAGCTCATCTGAAGCACATTTTACACAGATTTATATCTGTAAATGTAAAAAAGGAACACAAAAGTATAGCTCTCTCACAAATCTAGTGAAATAAAAAAGTGCAATAGTCATAAAATGTAATGTGTATGTTTGTACTGTAAATGAACAAACAATAAATAAACAAACAAACAAAACAAAAAGCAGCATTGTAAAAATGATCCTATGAGCCTGACTTGTTATTTGGAAGGACCCACTTTTGTTTTATGTTATGTGTTTTAAGATGTTTTTTGAATCAAGATCCCTGTAATGAGTGTAGGCCTATATGCTTTATTCTATATTATATGGAAGTTTACACAAAGTGTGTATACATACAACTAGAAACTGAGAAAGCAACTAAAGACTCAGTTGTATCCAAACACCTGGACAACCAGCAACAACTAAAATTATTTCTGCCACACAGACAATATTGTTTATATATTGATTTGATCATTTTAGTTGATTTTGAAGTTTAATTTTAGTTCTGTTTAATTAGACCGCATATTCTCACCGACAGATGTCAGCTTCATTTAGCACTGTTCACAACAGAAGTGTGTAATTAAGCCTGAAGATTGTATTCATCAGAGTCTCTAATTTGTTCTGCTTATTAACTGTTGCTTCCTGTCATTTTAAGTTTAAAATATTTGTCACCCTTCATCTCCCTTTCATAAAGCACAGGCCTATTCCCTATTAACCACTCTCCCTAAGATCTTTTATTTGTTTTCTAAGTTCACAGTCGATGTTCACATCATGCTGTCTGCACGACGTTTCATCCTGTCACAAGACAAATATGAAAATCTGTCTAAACACTCGCTCACATTTTGCCAAACTGTATCTTCAAGCAGACCTGTGGCAAATAGTGTTTTGGTTCTCAGAAATAGTTTAAATGAACATGCTGGTGCAATAAATGAGACATGAAACACACAACGGAAACAAACTGCAATAATCCGCCCTGATTTCATCAAATTCAGACTTGATACTGGAGGTTAAAATAAGGATTTCTGGAGGCTGAGTCATTCAGAACCATGAGTTCATGAGTATAACAAAAATGTGTGGGACAAGTAAATTACATCCTTACATTACATTAAAAAAAAAAAAAACTTCATAACAACTGTCAAACTGTAGAATAACTGCTTTGACCAAAAAAAGTGCAAATGCAAAGTACTCAACTGCAACGAAGTGTGTGAAAGTCAAGGTTAAAGCTGCATACATAAAGCGCAAACAAATGGCCCTGCAGAGACGAGACCTGGGTTGCGGACTGAGAGATAGATTAGACGATAACCCTGGAGCTGACAGCAGCAGCCGCGGGCCTCCTGTCCTCTGTCAGCACCCAGATGTCAGGAGATTAAAGGTACAGTCCCACCAGAAGGACGTAAAGTATTTCTCCTCTAATTGTCGAGAAGAGAGTGACACTCCTCTGCGGTACAACGCTATGTTACTGAAGCATTGTGAATATTTGACAGATGAAGTTCAAGCTCATGTGTGTAGACAAATATTTTCTCTGGATAAAGATCCAACAGCGCTGTCAGACTCTAAATCTCCCAAGTATCACTAACAAGGAAAGGCTCGGGACCAAAAGGAAAAGTTATGAAAGGATCAAGCCAGATCACAAAATAAT